GGCATATCATGGCGAGGTATGGGCGTTCTGTTTGCAGTGTTTACTGGTGTACGAATATGGATGTATGTTAACTTAATATGTGTGCTCTTACCTTCGTAGGTCCATGCATTGAGTGGTTCTGGCAACGTACATCCACCTCGTCAAAAGGAAAAACACGGTGACAGTGTGGCCTTCAGATTCGCTGCATGAAACTGCAGCATCCCGATGCAAGACGCCATTTGTTCTTTCGAAAAATTACTGCTTGCTGCCATGGAAACTAGGTGACGGGTTGCTTGCCTCGTGATCGCGTCGACAACTTCAATATTGTAGTTACATGGGCTTGCAGCATCACGATGGAATTAACGAGTTATTTATACGTTGTTGAATGAATAACTAGATGCGGGAAGACGTACACGTTGAACACAAAGTCACCTACATCAATGACCAATATCCCCTTGACAGCTCGACGCTTTTCTATGCAAGCGTCGGGCAGACACCCTGTGACACCGGTGTATTGCAAGCGTTGTATATGGGTGCATATCCCTGCACATGTGCATCCTCATGATTCACTTGTGGAAGCTGTTTTGGAGGCTTCCTGTCTACCAGAGGAGGGAAACGTAAGTTTGCTGCATTTCACACTTATTTTGAGAAGTAAATACCCCTTGCATATCATGAGCTAACCGTGAAAGAAGAGAGCCACTGCTTCCGATCGATAACCCGTTTCGTGCGAGGTATTTTTTCTGAATCTGGCCGTTTTTGTTCCAGGAGGGCAGCTCCCTCCTGTGTGCTCCTCCAACTGGCTTTTTCAGAGAGCACTTATATGTTCAGCCCTATCCGCATCTGTTCGACCAAAGGCTACATCAATATGCCTAAAGATTAATGCTCTGCAGAAAGCAGGCTCCCTGCCCTATAATAGTTTATACACCAGTATCCTGTGGAACGGAACCCCACTAAGTTGAGCGCACTGCAGCTGAACCCTGAACGGGGCCCACCAATCCATTCGTTTATTTGGAAAGAGCTTCAAATTTCATCCTGTCAGTCCGTTCTGGACGCGCACTCTGTTTCAAGGGTACCAGGGTAAAGTCCCGTGCCCTCGTGCCTCTGACACTTGGATAGGTTCCGCAGGTTCAGTCAACTCTCGGATGCGGACAGCCATGAAAAGCGACGAAAAAAGAATACAGCTTCACGCAGCTGCAAAGCATCACACTACGGGGCGTTCTCCCTGTTCGCGAAGGGGTTATTGTCTCCATCACCGTGTCAGTGGGGTCCTGCGCCGATTGTCCTGGGTAACGCCGACTCAAGTAAACTGGGAAATTTCTAGTGGCCCTCGCTGTTAATTAATATAGGAGGTGCTTCGTAGACAAAAGTTTAACAGGTTGAGCATGCAAGACGCCCACAAAATCTCCACAGAAAAGGGGAGTATGGCCCCTGGCCCTAGGTGCCATACTCCCCTCGTGCTCGAGGTACCCCAGTGGGCTTACTCAGTTCCCACAAAAGATCAAGCAGCGAATGCGCACTTTTTAATTATCAAAACGATTTGAAGGCACCGCGAGTCCACCAAGTACGCTGCGAGTGCGAAAGTAGTAATGAAACAGCCCCGTTCTGTACCCACCCCAAGTGGCAAGACCACTGGTGTGTGCCCTTTCCTTGATGCCATTTTCGTGAAAGCACAGTTTTTATAACAGGACAGGTTCAAAGCGCCTGCCTCGAAGAGCCAGCAGAAGATGTAACGACTGAGTGTCGGGGAATGGCGAATGCCATAGTGCTCATCAGAAAGACCTTAACTTGTAAATATGCGGTCGACGCAACAAGAAAGAGGCTGCTCATAGTCTTCCACCCAGATGCCAGTGGTACGACCCGGCACATGCAGCTCTACCTGGGGTAGGTGAGACAGTAGGGGACCAAGGACACCCCTAGGACCTAAGGAGCGGTGACGCTGAAAGCGTCTGAACAATCTATGGCCCTTGCCAACGCCCACGCCAAGGGCATAATGGAGAGTCAGCCACCGGTTGGGATTCTGCTTTATTAAAGGCATTTTTCTTGCGGTCAACAGGTCAGCCGCTCGAGCGGGCTCAGCCACTTCTCAGAATGCGAGCGGAAACACCTGGACGCCGTACTTGAAGCTGCCTCGGCCCGTGCAATTCTATAGTTTCCACAACACCGCTTCAGGCCGCCTTACTTCAGATTCTTCATGGTCTGCAACAGCGTCAGTAGCACGCCACTACTCAAACCCACAAGGAGGCACTGCAGCAGGAGCTCGCGCTTATGCTTTATCAAACAGGATATTTGGTCTGCCACACGTCTGAGCATGACTATGCTGGCTTGTATACAGTCTCGAAAATTCGTGGGTGGCCTGGTCAGATAGGTGTGCAGACTCATTCCTACGACCTAGATGTCAAGCCCGGGCTTTGAGCAGTAATCATCAAAAGTTCCGGTTCATGACCACCACATTCAATTAGCCAATGGGCGAAACAAGCGACTTTCGAACTACCCGAGCACCAATGCACTGGGATGCAACAATTCAAACCCATGGCAGAATTTCAAATATGGTTTCATATCAGGGCAGCCCGTACAGCATCCGGGAAGCACAGAATGTTGCCCAGTGTTGCACTTGCCCCATAACGGTAAAATAGAGGGGGAGATAGCCGAGCGTACACAGGACCGCAGGTTCCGGGCTTTTAGAGTTGATGCCATCAGCATTCTGTCCTTTACACAGCAGTGTGTCCATGTGTCCTGACAGTAGTACGACGTTCGTCAGGCCCACGCTGAAGTGCATGTACCGCATGGCCAGCATGAAAAGCGGGAGCACCGAGATTCCTTACAGATTGAATACCACAAGACCAGGCTTCGAGCTGGTATCGTATTCAAGGCCCAGACAAGGGGCGACGCACGCCGCCCCAAAGGCCCCCATCTTCTGTGGTCCGAGAGAGCCTGCAAGACCAGAAAAAGCGGAAGGCCCCTCTGAGGCGCAGAAAGAGTACATAAACTTTAAAGAAAGCATGACTGGTTAATGGGAGAGCCGGTTGACTTAACGGGGACGACAGTCCCATCTGTTTCAGAACCCGATACATCTCAGGGTGCAGCAGCCTGGTGTCCCTCAACGGCACCGAAAACTCCCAAGCTCGAAACGTAAGGCTGATCGAACCACCGCCGCACCAGCGCCTGCCCTGTACATGTAGGTGTTCCCGCTGCCCTTCCAGCCCCTGCCTGCTGTTGTCCTGGATAGCCTCCGCTAACCCGGGTATTGTAGGGACATGCGCGTAAAGAAGAGCCAACCAATACTTTGCAGCGAGACTATACAGGTTTCCGCTGAACGAAGCGGTCACGCGAACAGGGCTAGGCGAACCGCTTCTTAAGTCGCGCGCCGCCCTACTTCTCAGATTGACACAGCTTGGTGCTTCAACCACCCGGAAGACATTTTGTGATACCCCAAACGGCTGGACCCGTCACACCTGTACAAATATATATCCAAACGCTCTAAAGATTGCAGGCAGGTTGCCGCAGCAAAAATGCCATCACCGCTCCCATGGATTGTCTTCAATGGAGAAGGCTATGGACTTGGCCCCTCTGGAGGGGTGTCTATCGGCCCCCTCCAGAAATGGCCAGCTACGCGTGCGCCGAGCTTTTTAAACGAAATTTCTTCCGCTGGAGAAGCAAGAACGCATGCCGGAGTAATCCTAGCAGGCTTAGCGAGACTGAACGCCCAAGGCTCCTGGGCCGCGCCCATCAAGCTGAAACTCACGAGGAGCTCGACGGCCTTACCGGCACGGGAGTGTTGTAAATACGACTATTGCGAAGACAGTAGCGGGTCGGGTCTACATGAAACAGTCACCACGTATCGCAGTTTTGTGAGCCTTACAAGAATACTTATAATAATGAGCTTCCTACGTGCTCATCTTTCTGTGATCCGTTAGACTGAACCACGGCCCCTCATGGGGGAAGGGGAAAGGCCAGAACCCTTCTGCCTTGCAGACACAGGTGCTTCTCTGGTTTCACTAAGTGAGAAATGCGAGCTGCCGGGAACACCCTGGGAGATTCCGATGATTGCATCTTTCTGAATAGAGGGACCGAGTTGACTGCTTTTCTGCCCGGAAAGCGTTTCGGGTGCATGCCGTACTGAGGTGCAGGCCATCGGTGGCGGGCGTTGCGTCCACCGCTCTGTCCCTCGTGTGGCATTTGAAAGACACTCAGAAGCAGGATCAGCTTAAACCCGCGATACCATGCACAAGAGAAAAAATTGCCGGCCAGGGGCAAGAGGACGGGGAACCATGGCCCGCAGAGCAACCGGTGAAGCGCCTTATCGAGCAGGCAGTTTGCACTTCAGGGATGTGGACCTTCAACTGTCTACAAAGGAAGTGAACGCCCAACGGTTTCGTTTCGGCGCTCCCTGGGAGCTCAAGCCGACATACCCAAGCAGGCGGACCCGTGCGGAGGAGGGGTTGTCGCCTGTCTCTGTGTTGTGGAACTGCTTCATCAGACAGTTCGAACGTGTGAGGAACTCACTGAAAGCACGTTGTTCTTGTGGTCTGACCCATATGGGCTCTACACCTATGTCTCTCTCGGCAGTGTATTGTGGGTGGCAAGCAGGCGTTGCATCACACCCGCGCGAGCTTAGCACCACGGTGTCTGGATATTAAAAGAATGAACATCGGCTAAAATATATGCAATGACAAGCAGATAAGATATGTCTATCCGCGATACTCTGGGCACCAAGCCAGAGGTCAGATGGCGGCACCAGTAGTGGCAGAGAGGCATCTGGAGGCTTCCATGAATGCGCTTTCGCAAGTCTGGATCTCTCCCCGATATAATTTGCAAAATTCGCATTCTCTGGTGTACGCTCCGCGCAGGGGACCTCGAAAGACCCATGTTGTATTTTGCCCACCCCCTGCATGCACCGGCCGCCCAGAAGCTGGCCGCGCATCATGCCAGTCGGCTGTGCCGTAGGAAGGCATTTGCGAAGCTCCTCAGAGTAATGAAACAAAGGAAATCGGCGCTGTATTTCCAGAAGCTTTCGCAACGAAATGGGAGCAGAAGGAGACAATCCAGCCCCCCACGTGCAGCGCGTGCACGACGGGTGGCCTCGGTGCACGTATTCCGTGAACTTCTACTCTGTTTTACGGTCGCAGCACTATCAAGAGAATCAGCTACAGCTCCCTTTGCTTACGCGTCATCAGCAACAACACAGACGTGCTCCCCCTCCTTTGCTCCCTCAGGTGCGCCCATGGCTGGGCAACAGGGACCTACGCTGGCAGCAGGAAGAACTGCACGAGTTGCTGCTGGAAGAGAGGGAGCTGCTCCTACAGGAGAGCCAGCTTATGCGGCCCGACTCGATTCTCGCCGCCTACAGCTACGAACACAGAGCTTACATGCGAGGGTTGCCGTCGCAAGCTGCTGGGAAAGCAGTATCTGAGCAGGGGTCAGACGCGACTGCAGCGGCAGCAGAAACTGCTGCCTCGGATGTACCGGCTGCAGCTGGTCCTCATTGTGCTTTTGACGGAAACGAAATTACATGCCACGCCTCCAAGGATGGCTGCGGTGCAAGAGGGCCTTGCCGTACAAGTCGCACCCGCAAAGTCACAGCCATCAGCCACCACGGTGCCGAATCTTGTGGAAAGCTTCATATTGACAGCTATAGAGCGGAGATATTTGCGCGCAGCGAGCTGTTGACTGCACAGGTCAGCCTCATGTAATGCATCTATAGCTGGGCAGATCGTGGCGTTCGCGAGTTCTCAGCTGTGAAAGCTGCTGGCGGGTAGATGCAGCTTTGTCCACTGAACGTCTTTGGAGGATTGTTAGAGTTTTGGTAACTGTGCATCTGTAGGATGTCGTGAAGGCATGTATGTATGTAGCGCACCTGTGGCACTGGCAGGAGGATTGTTAGGGTTTTGGTAATTGTGCATCTGTAGGATGTCGTGAAGGCATGTATGTATGTAGCGCACCTGTGGCACTGGCATGTGCATCCCGGAAAAATTCTCTTCTGCACAGCAGTCACTGCGGAGTGTAGCGGTTGCGTTGCTGCCCCCGAAGCACATCTGAAGGCCCTTCTGTGTTTGCCTGCCTCTGCATTAGGAGGTCTATGCAGCCGTGCGGTGTATAACGGATCCGGAGCATCCATATACTCTCGAGGAGCTCCTCGTAATGGTGCCTGATTACGTCAAAGTGCGTTGCAGCAGCTGCAACAGCGATGTCTCAGCGGCCTCGCCTCGCGGCAGTGCCGCGAGTTGTTGCTGTTCACAGCAAAAACGGGAGCAACATCCATCGCATTGGCGGACGATGCGGGATTTGCGCGTGGAGATATGTTTTCGCCCTACGATTCCCCATTGTTCTCAGGCAAGAGTCGCCCCTTTGGTTGCATGCATCCTTATCAGACGCGCGCGCTGCTTGTCTTGCCGCCCCGCTGTTGGCGCAAGTACACCTGGGCCTGCGACGTTGGCGAGTCTCCTGCACCCGCGCATCGCTGTGCTTCCGTTTTTAGCGCCAAGAGGCTCGGCTGTCTGCTGCACGTGTCTCCTTGAGGTACCGCTGCTCTTGCCGCAGGCAACTCTGATTGGCTTGCTGCTGCTAGTCAAGGCACAGCGGGCGGCAGCAGCCGTAGGAGCAACAGCCACGTCCTCAGTATCCGTCTCCATCATCCCTGGGGCGCATGCTTCGTATCTTTCCATAAACAAGCAACTAGGAGACAAGGAAAGAGTTAGGGCGGCAGCGGCGAATCCTTCACTCAGGCAGATGATTGATTCAGGCAAGCATGGATACGCCCCCTGCCCACCCCGATCTCTGTGAGTGCCAACCTTGCCAGGCTCAACCTTGAACTGTTGTGGCGCTTAGCTCTAGACTCCTTGCATGCGTCCTCGCAGGCCTTAAGGATACCGAAGTGTGGACGAACGTCACAGACCTTCTCTGGTGCGGCTAGGATTTTGGCTACACCACCGGTATGCTGGCATTCCAGCTGACTTCCAAAGTAAGTCCTTTGCAGCACCCTCCATTGCCGTTCTTGCCTGCAGAGCACACAATATTGCACGTTTGGCAGTTCGTTTTTTGCGCAAACTCATCCTGCGCTACGAGGTCACGTGTATCTTGTCATGCATGTGCAAAAATGTATGTATATAGGTAATAGTGCTGTTAGGCGAGGAGATGTATATCTATGCAAACGGTGGATGTGTAGAGACACGCTTTCGCACTGACAGGAGAGTCCAGTGTCTCTCCACCGGTCTCCCGTTGTTGGTTGATGCACATGGGTCTGAGCCTCAAATCCATTCAGTGGCTGCGCTGTCAGCGCTGCCTGGTGCTCTGCCTATTCTGCGTTATCTTTTCTGTGTTGTCGTTGCGTCTTGTCGGGGAGTTGCCTTTTCCCCTCTCTACATGGGTACGCCCGCACTGTGCATCCCTCTCTGACTTCCCTTCATCGGTGTTTCTTACTCGATGTAAGGATGCCGCTTCCAACTTTAGTGTGCTTCGGGAGGTGAACGACCTTCTAACGTTGTAGAAGTGGCATTGCCACTGGGGGTACACTGATGCGGTTGCGCCCGCAGGGGTTCCCCGTCGTTTTAGCACAGGATGCTGCATGGTTGCAGGGGAGAACCAATAAGGCAGAATTGCTAGCTGCCTCTTTCTGGCGGAAAGTAGCTTGTTATCCGTAAATTTTGCATACAGTAGGTCTTTCAGCTTCGACCTACTGGGCGTTTGGTGATTCCTCCATGAGCAGTGCCGTGCAGTGCGCTCATGGCGAAAACAGGTGTATATGTAGGGGCAGATGGGCCCTGCTGCATTCAGGTAGCATGGAGGAGTACGTCTAGTGTGACTGAAGATGACAAACAGATTGCCCACGAATACACTTGACAGCCTTTTGTCCGCAGCTCCTGTCTTTCTCCTAGTAACTCCCCTTAGGGGGACCCTGATACCCACTGCAACTAGTAATAAAGCTCCTGTTTTATTCTTAGCGCTCTCTTCCATGTACCCACGTCACACCGCAGGCTTTCAGCAGGATGAAACGAAAGATAGCAGAGGGGCACGAGGTAGCTGCAGCTTCCCAGCAGCAGCGGGGAGACTGTACGACATTCCAGAGTGAGAAATTTCGGAGGGAAGTAGGTTTTTCGCATTCTTACTTGTACAAAGGCAAGTCTCAACATAGCGGTGCAGAAAATAGGTCGGTCAGCGAGCGCCGTGTAGAGCCACAGAGCATACGTTGCCAGTGTATGAAACCCCAAAAGTGCATTTTACGAGCATTGCACAACACGAAGAGCCCGGCAATGCAGTCCATACCCAAATATGCCTTAATTGCAACTAAATTCGTGTAGCGGGAATCATATTTGTAGCTCACCTCCCATCCCTCCCCTCTCCACCAACCACGACCCACCCACCCACGTAGCAAGCCAAGCTGCGCCTTGGTAGTTTTCGCTGGAGCATATATATAGTGTGGCTAATTGCATGTTGTATGATTTGGCTTTTGTTGTTTGCCATGTGCTCCGGGGCATGGTAAGCTCCACTTCCTTGTAGTGTGGGCTATACGATTAGAGCGCTCGGAAGGTGCAAAAGTTAATTGTAACCCCGTTATTCCTCTTCCTTCGGTCCGAACATTTTAAACTGATGGGGACATGAAGCTTAGGGTCCCGTGGTAGAGGGAAGCCTAAAAGCTTTTTCCCAACCTTTGATGTGGTTTCGCGCTGACTTCCCCCATGGAAATCATAGGAGGAATTCACATTGTACACGCAGCGTTCCCTCTGGAACCTATACAAAACGGCCCTAACTACGCAAACCCCAACAAACAAAAGAGAAGATGGCAAAAGCCAGGCTTTCTACCAGAAGGTCCCTTGCCCCACTCCTTGCTGTAAAGGACAAATTTAGGATCAAGCATTCTCCACTACACTGCTTATTCTTGACAAAGACGTAGTAAAGGATCGACTAATTGGCTTGTCTCTTCGTACGTATACTAAATTGCAGAGCACTGTTGGCTCCATACAAGGAGATGCACTCTTTTGCGCGTGTGTGTCGGATGATAAGAACAATTCACTGTGGCTGCTTGGAGTATTTTGGCGGTGCAGCCACGGAAAACCCCAGCTGTGCCTCCACTTCCCTCATGCTGGGATCTCTGAGGGAAGCTGCAGAGAAAAGGGCGAGCTTTCCTGAGAGATATCTCCAATCACTACTTCCTCTGTATTTTGAGACTGGAGTCAAGTGCGTCCCTACAGTGACCCTCGATAGAGCTCTATGCTCGCCCTCATCACGTACTACAGTGCCGCTCTTGCGCCTCTTACTCAGAAGAACTCGCAAGGTGCGCGTTTCTGCACGTCCTAGCCGCTGCGAGCATGTGCATGCGCACAGCGCTGGACCCTAGAACCTAGCGTACCGGCACACGTAGCGTTGTTCCCCCAGGTAGCAGCCCACAGCTGACTTTGCCTCTACCCTGCTACAAGTACGATGCGTGTACCGCTACACACGCCTTCCCTCCGTACTTGAATTGCTCTGGTTTCACCATTGACGAGCGCGCTGAAAGTGCCGAAATGTTGCGCGGCCCGGTATACTACAACTTTCGGGTGGAGGCAAAGAGTAGAAGTCGCTGATTGTCGCGAACTCGCGGCATGAGGGTAGTGTCTCTAATACACTCGCTTCGCAAATGTTTTCCTTTAATGGTGGACCCCAGGTGGTGTGTGGACTTGCTGGAAGACGCCACTGTCTGAGAGGTTTCTTCCCGCGCTCTGCCGGTCTGCAGCGAGTCGGCGCTCATGAAGGTCGATTATGCTTTTTAAAACGGAGCCAATGGTTTTTCTGCAAGTTCCCACAATGCGCAGCGACCCGATGGCTGTGTACAGATATCGGGCGGGCACGCGTTGTGCCTGGCACCCTCTCCTCAACTTCCTCAAAGGAGTGCACGGTATGGGGGATTCTTGGCGGTAGCTTGAAGCTAAGCAAGAGGTTCTATATCGGCCCTTTCACGGATGCCGGACCTGCAGAAACAACAATGCAAGTAAATAATTTCGCTTGCCGCGGGCAGATACGCACCAGAGGGCCTCACGGCTGCGCCGTGTTTCCCCTCCATGGGTAGGGGCCCCTCTGCGCCCAGCCACGCGCGCGCCTCTGCTTCCCCAATGTGCATGCAAGAAGACAACATACGGTCGTCGCCGCGCGCCACAGCAGCCAAAATACCGCTAAAAAACTCTTTAGGGTGGTCTTAGAAGGATTTGTGCGGGTTTCGGGCAGACCAAAAGCCGGAGGAAACGGAGTGACGCGATGGATGGACTCTTCTGAAGCGAGCTGGAGACATCCCCCTTCTTCTTTTGTCTCCAATTCTCCTTTAAGCTCGACCTTTCCGCTATAACGGGGGAATTCATGTTCAATTCACTCTCTCCGCGCAACACCTAGCACCAGGCAGGGCAGCAAGACCTGAACGCGGCAGCCACTGCGCCGGGTGCGGCGCCACTGCGCTTCTTCGCTTTTCCGCCCTCTCTGGTCAGCGCTTCTTCCCGTAAAGACGCCCAATGCAGCAGTTGCACCACCCCGCAGCCTCTAGGATGGGAGTTCCGACCCCTACGCCCACCAGCACGCGCGCGATTGCCGCTGCGCACATGGCGCTGGTTTCCTCTCCAGCGGCTTCTGCGACTGCACCTCCTTCAAGTCCAGCGGTAGCTTCGCCGAGGGGCGCTCTGTCTTCGGCTGTTCCTTCCGGAGGCGGGGCACCGCCTGTATCGACGAACCCCTCCTCCGCTGCTTCGCAGTCTTCCGCAGCCTCCGGAGCAGCGCCTCCCTCCGCGAATTCTTTGGAGGTGTATGTCATGGGAGACACCCCCTTCGTCATGCAGGCGAGCCCTTATCCGTACGGCATAACGCGGCCCATATCCTTGAAGACGCCCACGACGGCGGATTTGCATCAGAGCGTTGAGCTTGTGCGAGTGCTGCGTCACAAGGGGGTGTATGAGACAGCCGCAGGTGCACGGCAGCGAGAACTCGTGCTGGCAGAACTGAACAAGATCGTCTCCGAGTGGATTTATGAATCAGGAATAGAGCAAGGCTTAGACCCTGCGGAAGCCAGGGAGGCGGGGGGGAAGATCTTCACTTTTGGGTCATACCGGTTGGGTGTATCGACACCTGGGAGCGATATCGACGCGCTGTGCGTGTCTCCCAAGCATGTTACACGGGATGCGTTTTTTACTGTCTTCTTGGCCAAGCTGCAACAGGATCCTAGGGTTGAAAAGATTACACCTGTGCCGGATGCGTACACTCCAGTGTTGAAGTTTTGCTTTTCTGGCGTGGAGATCGACCTTCTCTTTGCACGCTTGGCTTTGCGCTGTATCCCGAGCTCGTGGGTTGGGCTCGAGGCCGACTCCGTCCTGAAGCATACCGATGAAAAGACAGCAAGGAGCCTCAACGGCAATCGTGTCGCAGACATGATCCTCAAGCTTGTGCCGAACAAGTCGGTCTTCAGAACGGCCTTGCGCTTCATTAAACAGTGGGCGAAAGCGCGAGGCGTCTACAGCAACGTCTTGGGATATCTAGGAGGCATCAGCTGGGCAATACTCGTGGCGAGATGCTGCCAACTCTACCCGAATTTTCCTCCAAACCTTCTGATCCAACGCTTCTTCACAGTCTACACACAGTGGTGCTGGGCCAGAAGCCCTGTCTGCCTCTGCAAGATTAGTGAGCCTCAGCCGGCTGAGGGTCTTACAAATTTCAGGGTGTGGAATCCGCAACTCTACGCACAGGTACATATGCATATATACATATATACATATATATACATATATATATATATATACATGTATATACATACATATATATATGCATATATACATATATATATATACATATATACATATATATATATATACATACATATATATATATGCATGATGTTGCAACCCCCCCTCTTCCCCTAGCCCCCTTCTCTGAAAGCCTTGAGCTATGACTGCGACACACCTTTCTGCACGGGCCAGAGTCTTATACAGCGTCAGTCTCAAGTTTCCCCGCCTTTACGCCTTCTCTCCCACCCCGCCTGCACTCCCAGGAGCGCCTCGAAAGCCGCTGCGCTTATTCCTTGCACACGGCCTATCACTGGCGCTTGCGCTTTTTTCTGCGCCTCAGGACCGTCAGCATCTGCTGAAAATCATCACACCAGCCTTCCCAGCCATGAACTCGACTCACAACGTCTCGCACTCAACAAAGAGGATCATCGGTGAAGAACTGAGCGCCGCAGCCAAACGCTTCAACGCCTGGGCTGCAGGAGGCTCTGCATCCCCCCCCCAAACGCTTCAGTCGTGGAAGGAAGTGCTGCTCGAAACACTTACTCCTGTGGACTATCTCGCCATGTATAGGCATTTTCTTGACCTTCAAGTGCTCGCCAAATCAGAGGCTGTAAGTACCCACGCGTCGCGCGCCAAAAAATGAACCTTTCTTGCGTTCCTGACCCTCTAGCGAAGGAAGGGCCTCTCCAGTGGGGGTGGCAGACACTTCGAAGTCGCAAAAAGTACAGCCTTCTGGTGCAGCATAGCCTCGCCTTCACAACAATAGAAGAACAGTCAGCAAGGGCAGCTGCTGCACGAAGGCAGAATACCTCCTGGGGATCTGCGTTTTTTCTCCCCTCCGCAAGAAGACAACTGTGATCGTCGGAACTGCACGCCATATCGGAAAGCTCTCGTCTTTCGCCGCGGAGCCTCCCGATGATCGCAGTATCCCTCCCTCGCGTCTTCTTTTGTTTGCTGCCGCAGGTGCATCGCAAGTGGGAAGGCTGGATCGAATCCAAGGTGCGGCATCTCGTTCGCTCGCTAGAAAGACTCGCGCATAATGCAGCCGCCTTGGGGCAGTCGAAGGAACCCCGTGCTCAGATGGCTGTGAGGCCTCTCCCCGTCGTGTTCAAGACACAAGTAAGAGCTGTGGGAGGGAGGCGGGGTGGGGGGTGGTATATCTATGTATATACCCATGTTCAACATGCATATACACATATATATACATACATCTATATATATATGTGTGTATATGTATGTATATGTGTGTGTATATGTATGTATATGTGTATATGTATGTATATGTGTATATGTATGTATATGTGTGTATGCATGTATATATTTATATATATATATCTATATATATAGATGTATGTATATTTATATATTCATCTATATATATATATATATTTATACACATATTTATATATATTTATATATATACGTATATTCAAGCCAGGAATTCTCGGCTCTTGCCAAGGACGACATTCATACGACTGCATGCCATGTACTGCAGGCACAGGCTGTGGGACTACTGTGTGGCTCTTGAGCGCCGTAGAGGCTTTTATCCGAGTGCTGTGCTGTTGTGAAACGAGTGTTTCTTGCTCTTTGTCTTTCACTCCCTCTCCGAGAGGGGAGGAGGCGGCGTTTTGTTGTGCGTGCTCTAAAGCCTTGCAGAGAGGGCACTGAATGCACACACCCAGCGTTCTGTGCACTTTGTTGGACCTTGGACAGACTGCCTTTGAGCGCACTTGCCAAACCCGTTCTTTCTCGCGAGTCTCAAGTGGGCGACGCGAGCACTGCATGCTGCCGTATGCACATATTTATGCGGTGAATCGCAGGACCCAGACTGGCCAGAGAGTTCTTCTCTATTGCTGGCGCTTACCTTTGCAAACCCCAAGGCTGGCGAGGCTGTCTGCGATCTCCGTCCCGCCATTGCCGTGAGTCTATACACTATATATATATACATATATATGTATGTACGTGCATGTCATGTACATATATATGTATGTATGGTGGCGGCCGCGTTGTGATTGAAGGATATCGGATCTAACCCTAATTACATGTGCGCAAGTGTGCGTTCTTCTACATATATATATATGTATATGTCTACGTACATATGTACGTAAATACGTGTGTATCCTCTGTGTGGGTGGGTGCGTTTTCAGGAGTTCGTTGAGCTGATTAACGGGTGGCCAGTAAGTACACGATTTTGGGGGGGCGTCTATGTGTGAATTGTTTTTGTTTTTTGTGTATCCTGGTGTCTTTTTCTGCGCATTTTTCCGCTTGTCAATGCACTGTTCTCCAGTGTATGGGGAGGCCCTGGTCATTATCGCGTGCTGCTTGCCACCCCTCCTTCTTTTGTTGCGGAAAACTGTTTCCCCTTTCTCGGCCTGCCCGTAGACATGTGTGTGCATCAGTATCATTGTGCATGGCGTTTCTGCCTGTTTGCGTGTCTGTCCGCCGCTGCAACTGGCCTTTCCGCAGGATCTCTCGAAGGTTCAGGGGGCTGTGCAGATGCGCGTACGGCATCTCCGCCGCTCACAACTGCCCCCCTCCATTGTGGAAGGGCTCAAGAAGCCAATGGACGCGCATGTGGCACTCCTGAAGCAGCTTGGCGTAGCCTCGGCTAATGAGCAGCAGCAGCCCCTTGCGGGCACGGCTGCTGAGACGCTGAGCGGTGGCGACGGCGTGTCTGCGTCTGCTGGTGCGCACCAGCAGGGGGGGGCGGAAGGCAGGAATTTAGCAAAGCGCAAGGCTGCAGAAATGGGAGGCGAGACGGCCTCTGCAGGAGGAGACTTTGTGCCGCAGAAATCGAAGAACTGAGTGCACTTCGCCGAGGTTGCGGCTGCCCTGCTTTGTCGCCTCGCACATTTTCTGGCTGTTGCCTGAAGGGCGCTAAGGGTTGCTACATCACGGCTTTCGCGGCAGAGCAGCAACGGCTTGTCGTGCTGCTGCAGCCGATTGAGCACAACAAGCGACAGCAGGAGCCACAAAGGGGGCGTCAGCTTTGCGTGGCGCTTGGGCCTGCTGCTTGCGTTTTATTCGGACGGCATATTTAATTCCATTTTTTGTTGTCCATGCAAATGGGGAAGAGTGAATGGGGAGGCAAGGGCGACTACAGCAGGCAGCAGCGGTTATAAAAACACGAAAGTGCCAGTTGTTCTATGGATGCGGTGCGCGCATTATGGCTCCCTTATGCTAGGTCGTTAGCAAAAGCACACGAAACTGTAAACACAGAGTGCAAAACCACTAGACTGTAGGTGTACAGCAGGGGTAACCGCTGCAGCTGTCGTGCGCTGCTTGGAGCAGCACCAACCACACCGGCAGGAGAAGAGCTCTTGCTGTAAACGTGCTGCTAGTATACGATGAAGAGTAGGGAGTAAACCCTTTGCCGAGGGCCGTCGAATGGAAGGCGCCTTCACTTCACGTGGCGAGAGGCGCAAAAAACGCCATCGCCGCAGCCGCTGATGCTGTTTTGTGGGGGGGCTTGCACAAGACCACGACAGCTTTTAGCTGGAGATTTGCCCGCGTTTGTTGTCAGTTATTTTGATGGAAGTGGGCATATAGCAAGAGACGTGCTGTAGGAAGCACAGAGGTGCGTGTAAATCACGTGGGCATGTTTCTGCATAAGAAGGCGTGTAAAGAGAAGATGTGTATGTGTGTCTGTGTATGGGTATGTCTATTGGTGTTTCTGATTTTCTCCATAAGGGAGAAACAGATTGCTTACCCCCCGAGCCATTGACCCATCGGCTGGCCCTCCGGCCTCCACCGCTACATATTTATATATATCTCTATGTATATACAGACAGCTTGTAAATGTGAACGTTTGTATGTATATACGCACATCTACATACATAAATATGCATGCAAAAAACATTTCGGCGTTGTTTCATGCACGTAGACAGGAGTCTATGTGCATGAAGCATTTCCGCCCTTTCCTTAGGAGACAGACATAGATGCTGTATATCTCTCTGTGCATACTTTTGTATATCTGTCAATGTAGCTTCCCTTCGTTCTCTCTGTGCACCTCTGTATGAATTCCTAAACCCTGGCAACGCCTCCTTAGCTTGAATACCACCGAAAAAAGATCATCCCGAAGAAAATTACGGAACCTAGGGATATACCACTGCCCTTCTCCGCATCCTCCTCCTGCGCAGACAGCATCCGCTCCATTCGGAAGGCGTGCATGCATGCACAAGAAGCCAACTTGCGAACGCTACAGTCAGCAGCAGGGCAATGAGCACATCCAGAAGACGCAACGCACCCCCCCACATGCAGACGCGACAAGCGGTAGCAGCAACCACAGCAGCAAGGCAGTGCCACCATCCCGCTAAGCGCGCGAAAGCGTGTGGGCGATGCATCCTGAAGTGTGCCCCCCCCTCCCCCCTCCTTGTACCGGTGGCTGCCGTGAGTCCGCAGCAAACAACAGTCCTAACACATGCGTCTGGACCCTTACTCCGAGCGTCTACAAACGAAGACGATAGGCAGACACGCGGCAACAAAGAGCCGCCGCACGAGCTTACATAGCGATCTAGGAGTTTCAGGAAGCCCTTGCGCTTCAAGTCGAAGCCATACGTGGTGCAGTCTTCACGACGTAGCAAGTCATTCAATTCTAAACCTTCTGGCTGCCGATGCACACACGCAAAAACACGCCCATGCGCGAATTTTTTTTCCCAGATTCGAAGAACCTCCTTCCCCGCACCGCGATCTCCCTGGAGCAGCCGATATCGCCTTTCTCCCGCTAAAACAAGCCCCTCAAAGGCGAGCCATGCAAATTTAAAAAAAAGGATTCTGGAGGGGCATGCACGCACCCATGTGCGCGCTTCGTTGTCCATTGCCTGCCCCCAGAGATCCGGTGTTTCCTCCTCGGATCTTGCACTGGGATTGAGCCTCCAAGGCGTTGCTGGTTCGCTTGTTTCTGTGAAGCCAAGAGCTGTAAGCTGCGCCTTTCGCTCAGCCTCGACGATCTTGGGGTTCACATTTTCTTTGAAGGGAATCTTGGCGAAGACCGCTGCCACCTCCGCCTCCTCCTTCGCCTTTTCTCGAAGGAGGCGCTGCTGCAGCCGCCTTGCGGATACTCGCTGCACGAAGCGCTCCGCTGCGTCTGCAGGGGGGGGTCCCTTCTGCCCTGCTGCTGCAGCAGCTTCTGCCTCCAACTGCGCAGCCCTCGCCCACCGCACGCGCAGCGGGAGAGCTCCACTCTTCACCAAGACACCCTCCGCAACCTCCAGAAACGCTTCCAACCTGAGAGAGGGGAGGGCAGGCACACGAGGCAAGGCACGCAGACACTGCGACAAAGAGGCATGCGGGATGTCAAATGCTGTATAACAAAGAGGCGTTGGCGTGAGGTGTATAACAAATGCTGTATAACAAATGCTGTATAACAAATAGGCACGCGAAATTCCTTTTTTCGTGGGTGGCTGCATCTGTCGAAGCCTCCTATTAGCGCCTCTCAGCCTCTGGAGACACAAAGGAACTGCCCGCCCTCCCCACACGCGCAAATGCAGGCAGCAACCCCACCATCGCCACCCCACTACCCAGTAAGGCCTTACTGGGTAATGTTGTCGAGAGCCGATTTCAGCAGGTGTCTGCACACTTCTTCGCGAAGCTCCTCCTGCTGATTTGCAAAATCCGGGCCCAAAAGAAGCAGCGCATTCAAAACTATCGGCACCCAGTTGTGCAAAACAACGACCTTCTCAAAGGGCAAGTAAGATCCAACAAAAGGCATAAAGGAAAAGAGGCCGTACGCGCTGCTGTCAAAGCGCAGCAACAACTCGGAAGCAAAAACGAGCGCCAAATAGCTGCAGAAGAACTGAAGCCAAACACACAAACAACAAGCAAACAGAAAGGATCATGACAAACACACAGAAAAGTACATAACAAACAAACAGAAAAGATCATAACAAATACACAGAAAAGTACATGACAAATACACAGACTTAGATGTACACCTAGGTAAGCCTTCAGATAGACAAATAAATACACCTTTGAACACAAAAGACTCTCTACACAAAAACAGTATCTCGCCCTGCGCCCCTTTGCCTCAACCCCTCTCAGTCTACGGGTAATTTAATTTCATGGCGAAGAGCAAAGAAATACGTTTATTTCTCTGTCTGTCTGTCTGTCTATTGCCAGTGCAGGATTATGCAGGGAAGCTGAGACAGCGCGATAGACTGCTAGGACGGCGTGGCTGCCTACAGCACACGAGTTATCCGGCAGGCAGCCCTTATGGAAGAAATAAGACTAAAGGAAAAGAGGAAGGGGGAGGGAAGACAGCAGGCGCGCCAAACGCAAGTTCAGTGACGATTCGCTGCATCACGATCTCCTCGCGAACCTGTCGAGTGGTGAGAGATGCATCGCCAAAGGTGTGCAGATATCCAAAGACAAAAGGAATTAGGCAGTGAAAGACGGCTACAAGCAGAACATCGTAAAAATGCTCATCATCCACAGCCCCGTCCGTCGAGAAATCCCCGAAGCGGCAAAATGCATCCCTCCTCTTTTCACTCCCAATAACCTCGTGTGCCTGTTGCATGCATGCAAATACACACAAACATACAGAAATACACACGCGAATCCACATACACATGCACACCTATACATATGCACACACACCTGTGCATACACACATATATATACACACCTATACAGATACGTACGTAGGCACGCAACTACGTTTCCACGCATGCAGATAGACGCACGCATTCCGCTTCTAGATAACTTTCTAAGCAAAAGGGTTTTAAATCCCTTTGCCTCCCAACGCCTACAGTCTGTTACACCCAGGAGTCGCCCTACTCAGAGCTCCAAAGGTAGGTAGGACACAGCAACAGCATGCCACGCCCTTCCTGGAGAGCGCTTTCACCTACCCCTAAGACAGGCCTAACAAAGGGGGTGTTTGCTTTAATGTGTAAGCACAACCTTAAGAGCATAAGCTCTAGACTCTAACTAGGAAAAAAAGAGGGCGAGTAGAGGACTCCTCGACACGAAACACCATTCTTTTGGCTGGCTGCCTCCGACCCCCTCATCCACACTCGAAGCTCTAAACACCCCTAAGAAGCGAGCGCTTGGCTTGCCTCGCGGATCTTTGCGAACATCTCCTTGGCCTCCATGGATGGGTTCTTATCCTGGAAGCCGCAAAGACACCGGGGAGCAAGCGGCAAACTCTTACTCCTCAAAGCCCCTTGAAATTCAACTTCCAAGGGGTAGCCTCCACCCCCCCGTCCTCCCCGACGGCCCTGCTACACGCGGTGCCTGCCTGCTTAGCGTTTCAGAGTTTTTTGTTGGCGCATACGGGGTGGTACTGGAGGGAGAGCTTTCTGTACGTTGATGACACCACCCGAGGAGGCGCATTAGGGGGAACGCCGATCGTCTCAAAGTGATTTGGCTCGCGGGTTGACTGAATGCAAATCAGCCATACAAGTATATATATATATACACATATATGTATATACATATATATATACATGTATTGAGACACATACAGACATGTCCCCAAGTTCCTCTCTTGTGATAGCCGCTCAGCCCCTGAGCGCGATCTCAGCTGTCTATACACCCCTCGTAAGAAGAGTGCTCTCTCTCTCTCTCTCTCTCTCTGTCTCTTTCTCTCTCTCCCTATTTAGGGCCTTTTCTCAGCGCCACGGCCATGAGGCATCAAAAATGATCGGAAAACACAACACTGCGATATATACAAAATGCTAACTGCCACAAAGGAAGGTCGATTGACACATGGAAGGGTTTCGGGGGAGGCCGCACTTGCAACATTCCAATGATGAAGAGCGCCACAAGCGCAAGGCACGCGCCTAAAGACAGAAAAGAACACGAGCAACAGACAGAAGCCCCTGCAGGTCGAACCGCAGACCCTTAATACTCTGCGACTGGAAGGGCAGAGTCTGCGTCTGCCTTGTTTGTCACCGCCTACCAACTTTCGTAGACTTCCGGTTCCAAGGTCGATCTGAAGCGCAGCGCACCGCAGAAAGCTCTGAGCCTCAAGCCCTTTGTGCCTTGTTCTCCATCAAACATAGCCGCAGATGGCTTCCGACGGTGTGCATGAAAGAAACAGCAACAGATACACAAACACACACACACATACACACAGAGAGAGGCGGGGTTGCGCGAACGAGAGAGAGAGAGACAAAGGGAGAGAGAGAGAGGAAGAGAGAAGAAACGAGACCCTCTCGTTGAAGGCTGCTTGGGGGAGAGCAGAAGAGGGGGGAAGGCTGTGAGAAGGCAAAGTCAATCTGCGTCATCGTATGGGTGCCTTTGTTTGGATCCATGTTCTTTTTTTTGCCCTAGAACCGTTTTTCGCCCCCCCCCCTTCGATCTCCCGACCCTCTCTCCCCTCCTTCCCTCCCACCCCCTCGCTGCCTTCCAGTATCTTCTTCTGTGTCTGCTGCTCTCCCCTGTTGCCATTCAAATGGTTGAAGCGATGTAAAACAGCCGTCACCTCCCCCCTCCAGCCTGCAGCCTCCGGCCCCCCCCCGCAGGTGCCAACCGTCTCAGTGCAGGTAACTGGCGGCGATCTGGAGGCAAGCCCCTACAACTATAGGCCGTCAAAAAGCGTAGAGAGGGATCGAAACGCGCAAAACAGAAAAAAAAGATGAACCCCCTTGCATCGTACATCCCCAAGCGGCCAGAAGCAACACGCGCCAGCCCCAGCCGCACAAAGCCTCACCAATGCTGGTGATCCACCGCGTGAGTGGCACCACGAAGAGCATATGAAAGAATATGTCCTCCATGGTGAGCGCGCGTCTAGCCCTCTGCTTGAAGCGCCAACCCTGAGGCCAGAACCCTACAGTCCAGACCCCAGACAGCTCGCATCGCTCGCCGGAGAGGGGAGGATTTGTGGAGAAAATCTACGAAACAGTGCGAATTGGAAAAAAGACACTGCTCGCAGAGTTAGATCAAAGGCCCGAGGCGCCGCTGGCAGCGGCACAAAGCCCCGTCATGATGACACTGTTGAGCGCGGCTGCCGGTGTTAGTACGCAGCGTACGGTTCAACCCTGGGCGCCGTTACGCTCCGGAAATTCCGGCCGAATGGAAAGAGGAATCCTTTTTCCCTATTTCTTACTATTTATTTCCAGGAAAGGCCGATTGCTGCTGCCATAAGGAATTTCACGCAGGGGAACGCTCATAGCACCCTCCCTCCTCTCTACTCTCGGAGGGCGCCAGCCGCTCGCGGCGGTGCCCCCCGAGGTCTTAAATATCCCCTTGAATTCAACTTTGTTCGGATCTGCGCGCATGCACGTTCCATGCCGTAATTCTCGCTCTCTTACCCTTTCTAGATCTAAATGGCTGCGCACACACAGTACGCTGCAACGCAGACACCAGACTCATACAGATCGACAGCCCTGCACTTTTTTGAATGCTCTCGCCCGTACACCTTGTGGTGCTGCTCCTGCCGGCAATCCCATGCGACTTTTCCTTCTTTCTCTTCCTCTCACTTTATGCTGCCCCGCGCTAGACCCTAGGCTCTAGTTGTTCATGAGCTGCAGCGATCTGGCCGCACTGATCCACGTTTTCAGACAGCTCAACCTTAACGCGGCGATCTCTTGGCAAGGGGAACCTTCAACTTCGAGGAAAGCACGCGCTAGGCGCTCCCGAGAGGTGCTGCAGTGCAAAAATGCTTCTTCGTCAACCAGCCTCCGCTAATTCAAATCCGTGAAGGCCGAGGCTTTCTGAATATGCCGCCTCTTCCCAACTCAACGCCGAGAGGAGAGAGACATTTAGTTTCGCCTCCCCAGAGCACGCCCGAGCAGAACCAAGCAGAAGAGGCCTCTTCAGCCAGCCTGTTTGCATCGTCAAAGGCGACGACACAGGAAATCACAGCCACGAGACTGCATGCACCACCAGCACAAATCAACACATGCGCAGCAGCAGCCGCTGCAGAAACCGCTGCCACAGGAGCAGCGAAAACGGAAGCCTCCACCGCATCCCCAATAGAAACCGCAGCAGCAACTGAAGGAGAAGCACCATACACAGAAACAGAAGCAGCATACGCAGAAACAGAAGCAGCATACGCAGAAACAGAAGCAGCATACGCAGAAACAGAAGCACCATACACAGAAACAGAAGCAGCATACGCAGAAACAGAAGCAGCATACACAAAAACAGAAGCACCATGCACAGAAACAGAAGCAGCATACGCAGAAACAGAAGCCAAGTCAGGAGGAAGAAGCAGCCGCTTCTTCTACCGAATTGTTGCCTCCAGATTTTCGCCTGTTTTTTTTGATTGGCAAGAAGTTCCCGAAGCCGATGCTGGTTGGTTTGCTCAATTTGTGAAGCTGCAGCAGCCGGCTGCTGCTACCAGCGATGCGATCCAAGCATCAGCAGCAGCAGATGGAGGGTCAGAAGTAGCCAATTCCGACTCCATATGGAAATGCGCACTAGACTTTTGCTGCATGCGCGCTGCAACGATGGCAGCTGCTGCTTGTGCTGCGCCGGCAACTGCTCTTTCCGACGCTTCTGCATCATCTGCTCAGGCAGCAGCAGCAGCAACAACACCCCCAGTTGTTGCTGGCACCAAAAACGCTGGTGCAGAGGCTGCTGTCGCTGCCTCTGCGGTGTCTCCCCAGACACTGTCGCATGCACCAGCACCTGCTGCTGCAGCAACAACGCCTGCCAGGATGCAGGCTGCTGCTGCTGTTGCTGATGAGGATTGGATGGCTTCTTTCCTGGCTTTGTCTCTGCTTCAAAGTATCAGCAGACATAGGCCTTTGCTGCTGCTGCGCCAGCCTCCTACAGCAGCAGCAGCAGCAGCATCACCACCATTATTACCGCCTCTAACATCAACAGCAATACCTTCACCAGTAGCTGAGGGAGCCACGGCAACGGCTGCTGCTGATGCTGCCTTGTGCAGTAACACCCCTGTGGAGACACACCAGGAGCTGCTGCTGCACTTTGTGGCTTCTCAGCTTCTCTCCCTCCGAAGCAGCAGCTGTAGAGCAGCGATGCGCACCGTGGGGATGCTTTGTCGTGGCTTGCTGTCAGTTTACAACCTGCAACAAGGGAAGCAAGCCAAACAGGAGCAACAGCAGCAGCAACAGCAGCAGCAGCAACAGCAGCAGCATCTGTCTCAAAGAGTGCGCAGCTTGATGCTGATGTTGCTGCAACGCTGTTCAGGCCCCTTGCTGTTGCGAGCAGCAGCAGAGAAAAGGTTTCTTGCTGTTGAGGCATCGAATGCTCTCAAAGAAATTGCAGCAATGAGTAGGCTGCATACCATTACCTAATACTGGCACGGCTGCTGCTGCTTTTGCTGCTTTTGTAGGTATTTTCAGTGCTCTGGCAGCTACTGTTTCAATTGTCTTTTTAGTGCTCTTGCAGCTGATGCTACTGGTGTCATCAAGTACAACTGTTTCTCTTGCTGTTGTTTTCAGTTTTCTCGCAGCTAGTGTTTCTGTTGGTGGTTGTGTCATTAGATAGTGCTCTTGCAGCTGATGCCGTTGGTGTCATCCAGTACACGGACCTGCTGCAGCTGGTGCATGTACTTTCTTGAGTGCCTCTGTTGCTGTTGCTTCCTGCATGCGCGTGATGTGCTGCAGCTGTTGCGTTGCTGCCACAGTTGCTGCCGCAGCTGCTGCTGCTGCTGCAGTCACACTTGCACGCCACACGAACGGCAGCGCCTGCAGCAACTTTAGTGCGGCAGCTGCTGAAGTTATCGCTGAGTTGTCGTCGAGTGCAGCAGCCGCAGCAGCAGGAGCAGGAGGAGGAAATCTTCAAGCGCAGCGATGAGGGTTCACACTGCGTGTGTGCCCCCTCTCTTGCAACTGTTGCAGAAGGATCTCCAGAGCAGCAGCAGCCGCGTTTCCTGCTGCAGCACGTGATTCGGCCGTGCTTGCTGCTGCTTGCACCGCTCGCGCGAGCGCCGCAGAAAGAAGCTCGCGAAGCCGTCAAGGCAGCGGTAGCAGAGGCTTGCAACTTTAGCCGGCAGCTTGGGAGCAGCAGTGGGAGCAGTCAGCTAAGCAGCAGCAGCAGTGCTGACACAGCTGCAGCAGAAACGGCTGGAGAGGAAGGTGAGGATGGACGCTGTCTTGCCATGCTCCTTTCTCTTTTTGAGCCGGAGGCGCTAGCTGCGGCTGCATGCCCTATTGCGTCTTCTCCAGCAGCAAAAACAGCAGCAGCAGCAGCCGCTACTCGCGTTCTGCTGCGCTCCTCGTGGGGAGAGTGCAAGAGGGATCCAGGCAAAACTGCCTTAAAAGCAAAGGGCAGCAGCGTCTTCGAGCTAGCTGCGGCTGCTGCCCGTCGTGCTGCATGCCGCGGGAGCTGCCCGCTGACGCAGCATCTCCCAGAGCAGCCCTCGCAAGAGCAGCAGCAGCATCAACGAGGAGGCGTGAGGCTGCACTTGCAGCAGCCAGGGAAGATTCCGGAAAAGCCAGAGGCGCAGCAGAGGCAGCAGAGGCAGCAGCAGCAGAGGCAGCAGAAGCAGCAGCAGCAGAGGCAGCAGCAGCAGATCGTGCCCGAGCGAGAAACTGCTTGCAGCTTGCCGCTGCTGCGCTGTTATGAAGGTGGATCAGCAGCTGCAGGTGTGGCAGACGCCAAAGCAGATGCAGTGGCACCAGCAGCGAAAATAGACGCAACAGATGCTGCAGACGCGGAGGAGGAAGAGAAGGCGAGCGCCATACAGGTGGCTGCAGCAGCGCCTTGCATTCAGAAGCCGCAGCAGGTAAAAGACTTGCAACACCCCACAAAGAGGACATGGAGCCCAATTTCAGTGTGCTTTCTGCAGTCTGGGAAGCGCCTTAAGCAAACAGTTCCCAAGGTGCATGCAGCCAGTCCTTGAGCAGCTCGCAGGGGAGGGTGGCATTGCTCGAGGCATTGCTGCGTCTGCCTTTGCATGCTGCGGCGTGGGTTGAGGCGGCAGCAGTACGGGGTGCGTTGAAACGAAGCGCACTAACGCGCTGCGTGGGAATCGTTGATCTCAGTTTATCCATCTGGGCTGGCGCTGCTCCGCAAACGGAGCGCCCCCATGCCAGCGCTGCTGCTGTCTGTAGGTGACCAGTCCGTTCTTGTAGTGCAGGCAGTAGACGATATTTTTCCCACGATCTAGTGCGTGGCTGCCTTATTAGGCCGGCGTGCATCTTGCACCGAAACTCCAACACTTGTAGGGGCCTCACGCACCGAGAGAGGGCGAAGCAGCTCCTCCAGGAAACCTCTCCTGTGTGGCTGCTAGAGCCAAAGAAAGATGCGTTGTTTTGACACTGTTTGACACTGCACGGAAGAGGAGGAGGACGCGCCTGTACGCTGCACAACCGAAGGTGCAAGAAGAGAAGAGGCACGTTCTTGGCTAGTTCTTGCTCCTGCTCTTGGCTAGTTCTTGCTCCTGCTCTTGGCTAGTTCTTGCTCCTGCTCTTGGCTAGTCCTTGCTCCTGCTCTTGGCTAGTCCTTGCTCCTGCTCTTGGCTAGTCCTTGCTCCTGCTCTTGGCTAGTCCTTGCTCCTGCTCTTGGCTAGTTCTTGCTCCTGCTCTTGGCTAGTTCTTGCTCCTGCTCTTGGCTAGTCCTTGCTCCTGCTCTTGGCTAGTCCTTGCTCCTGCTCTTGATCTCCTGAGCGGAAGCTCTCGAGATGCGGGGTGGCGGTGGGCATGGATGCACAGGGTCCATAGCTAGACACTTGTGGAGGGCGGATGTAGATGCGAATACCTCCTCCTTACATGTGGGGAAGGACTGCAGCTTCTCCGATGGCTGCCAGAGATGAGACGAAGCGGTCTAGGCCCGAGTCTACGTACACCCCGCCGCACGCTCGTACAACCCGCCGGAAGAGGCGGCTCTTCAAGAAGGGTTCTAACAACAGCACTCTGTGGTGTTGGGGACGGGGGGGGCACTCGTCACTCTGGAGGGTGCCTGACGCCGAGGCAGGTGTCTGCTGTTGCGGCAACAGCAACTGCTCGGCTGTAGCTGCTGTCACGAAATCAGCAAAGGGCAGCAGCGTAACGGGCGGAGGCCCCCAGGGGGCCCCTCTAAACCCTAGGCCACAACAGAGGGCAAACACCTCTTCTAAGGGAGCCCAAGGATCCTTCAGGCCCTCCTCCTCAGAGCCTCCCGCTGTACGCTTGACGCTGCTGTCACACACGTCTCGAGCGAGGCACAGCAGCAGCTTTCTTATGGCTTTGCTTGGCTCGCTGGAGAGACAGAGATAGCCTAACAGCTTCCGCAAAGCTACACGAGGCTGCAGCCAGACTCGCTCCACACGGACACACATGCACACACACATCCACAAACACACACACACATACAAACACACACACACATACATACACACACATACATACACATACACACGAGTAACCAGGACGGAGAGAGTATGAGGGGGGCGCTGCCATGTGCCGTAGAGACGGGCGGCCCTTCTTTTCGGGATTAAGGGCTTACGGACTCTTACCTGTAGGCGTTCTTCATCCTGCTCGACACTGTCGCTTTCTTGTAGCAGTTGCGTCGTCTCGAGAAAAGAATGACCTGCATCTTCTGGTGGTGCCCTTGCTGGATTCGGCGTTTCTGTGCATTGCCACAGTACGAGTTCCTTTAGCGTTTGCTGCTGCTGCTGTGAAGAGGGCACTGCAGCATCAAAAGCAGCTACGATGTCAAAGAGGAGCCGAGGCAGCAGCTTGAGCTCTCGCTGTCGCAGGTCTTGTTGCTGCAAGTCTTGCTGGTGCGAGTGTGGGTGGTGCTGTTGGTCAGGCTGCCTCTGGAGTTGTAAAGGTGGGAAATCTACAGTAGAGGCCGCTGCGGGGAGCCAGTTGCCATTGCATATTTGCGCGAATTCCTCGGCTGTGACGCGAAGGTCCAAGAGGCATTTCGAAGACGTCTGCAGGTGATCGGGCTGCAGTGCAGCGGCTCGCTTCATCTGCATTCACAAGAAGGAGCAGCAGTGAAGCGGCCAGATTATACCCCTCGAGACAGGAGATGCAAAGCCAGCAGAGACGATGCCAGCAACAAGTCAGTCCGGTATATATATATATATATACATATGCGAAACTTCAAGAAGAGACTACTCTTTGTGGGTGCCTTCGAGGAGGCGCTTTTTTCGATGGACGGAAGTTGCGCTTCCCTAGGGCCAGTGGCAGCAGCAACCGCCCGAGCACTACGCAGAATGACGTAGCGATAGAAGAGCACTAGCGAGCGCAGAAGCGTTAGCAACAGCAGCACCCTTAGTATCAGCAAAATCAAAGCACTAAACCTTTGATACTTGTCGGATCTGTTCCTCGTTTGGCCGCCGGACTCCTCCAAGGGCCAGAGCAAAAAGAAACTCCACACAATCCACAGAGCCTCCAGGCAGTCGCAGGGGAGGCAGAAACTGGGAGCTTTTCTGAGGCGAATTGCTCCCACCAAACTGCTTGGGAGCCAGAAGGCGGCCCCGTAACACCTCCTGCGAGAACGACGCGCTAGAAGCCGTGCGTGCTTAAGAAAGCGTGATGCTTGAGGACGCCTTTTTAGCAATCCGGCTAGAGGCTCTAGGAAGTTTGCAACTCACCTCAAGACAGATCGTCGGCATGAGGAGTCTCCCCGCGCTGGCGCTGTGGCAGTCGCTGATGAGCTGCCGTACCAGGGCAGCATTGGCATCCACTCCTGGTGACGCTGCTGCTGGAAGCCGTACAGCTGTTACGGCTGCTGAAGAAGCTGCTGAACTGCACGTTACCCTGGAGGCGCGTCTACTGGAGGAGCCCTCTGACTGGGTTGTACATTCGACGCGCTTCATAAAGAGCTGCACGCCTGCAACGCATGTTCAGAAACACGTCAACAAACCGCCCTGCAGCTCCCTTACAGTCGGCGACCCTATGAATTCTAGAGGGCCCGTTAGGTCTCCTGCAGCCTCAGACAGAGCTCTTGAGGGAGTGCTGCTTTTTGTCAGCACTGTCGATTTCGCGTATTCGCTGTCTTCGGAGGCTGTGGAAACACCACCACGGGAGGTAGGGCTTTGGGCGACTAAGGATGCACGCCCAAGAATACAGGGAACTCTTGTGTCTCTCTCTCTCTCTGACACACTATATCTCCCCCTCTAGATGTGAATAGGTAGCGTAGGTAGCGATATCTGGCAAAAGGATCTTGCGCTTTGCGCTCGTGTCATAGAGCCGACCCGGCAGACACTACGATGAATGCGCGGAGTCATGCAGTGCACGCTCAAAAGCGGCAGAGGGAAAGCAGCAGCCAAGGCGGATTCCCAGAAAAAGGGAAAAGACAAACGCGAATACCAAAGGCAGTTACAGAGGACAGAGCAGCATCGTCAAGCACAAGAGCAATGGGGCACCGACCCAGGCGTTTTTGTTGCCTGACCTTTGAGTCGAATCTCCTCGCTAACTGGCGATTCGTTTTCGATGGCCTCCTTCAACTTGTTAGAAAGGATGCCAACAGCTTCCTGTCGGGCGAGGCTGAGCGCTACCAGCCACTCCTCGAACCGCAGGCTTAGGGCGGTGACAGAGGCACCCAGACGCAGCAAAACAGTAGCGCCCCAGAGACAGTTCTTTCTCAGGCGGTAGAGGAGCTGCTGCTGCAGCTGAACGCGAAGTAGAGACAGTGCCTGATGCTCGAAGCTCAAGCCTTGAGAACTTTCCGTTCTAGAAGGCCCCTCTGGGCGGCGCGATGCAGCAGCTGCAAGCAAGGATGCATGCAACAAGTGCCGTAAATGTGGCAAAGCCTTAGGGCGTGAAGAGGGCAGCAAGGCAGCGGCTTCGCTGGCTAGGAACCAAACCCAGCTAGATTCGTTGTCAAGAAAACAGCTAGCCAACGCGCTCCGGAGGCTGACGAAGACATCGATTTTCCAGCACACACCAACATGCATGCACGTGGATTAGTTAATGTGCAAACTAGGAAGTGAAATGGATTGGGGAACATCAGGGAGGTCCGTGTCGTTTTCCGCCATGCGGCTTGCTTGCATCGTGGCGTGTCTCATTGCATGGCGCATTGGGCATCTGCCTCTTCCCTTTATACTTTATGTCTGGTCTTCCTTGTGTGGAGCTATAAGTTTGCACCTGAGCCACTAGATTCTCTTGGCTTTTGCTTCTTTTTCTCATCTGTTGGGTGAGCAGCAGCCGCTGGCGGCGATGAAGACATCTCTAGGGAAAGCAACGCCTTCGTGGCTGCGGCTTCCAAAGACTGAAGCAACCCAGAGGAGGAGCCACACCCGCAAGCGGCAACAACAATAGGAAAGCTCAGCCTTTGAATTCTAACTCGAGTCCAGTGCATACGACAACAAAACCTTGACAAGCTGAGCTTCAGCTGTGGTAGCAAGATTTACGAGCGCCTAATAGAGGCCTAGAAGTGCCTCCTCTATAAGGTACCTCAAAGGGGTGTTGTTTCCACGCCTTTGGTGGAGGCGCTGCCAAGGGGTCTTTGCCGCAGATTGCAGGCAGCGCTGCATGCACATCACTGATGGCGATTTCCTTGAGGCTAGAAAGCAAAGGCTCCGCCTCCGTTTGATGCTGCTGCTGCCGATCAGGCAGCGGCAACCCCATAAGGGAATAGAAAAAGTCCGTGACAAACTCGTCGAGGGCCCAGTACCTTGAGGCAAACCCGACAAGGATGAAGAACAATCCTTCTTGTGCTCTTCGACCCCTCTGTGGTTGCATAATGATTGTTCTGTACATGCCTCTCTCTGTTCTTAGATGTGGACCGCTGTATATTTTTTAGCTCTTTCATTTGATGCTGTCTCCCTATCAGTGAGAGCTGCTAATTTTCCCGCTTTCCCACCTTGGGCTGGTCATGCCTGCGCCCCCCTGCCCACCGTGCAATTTCAATCTCGATGATTCTGGAGAGCTGCGCAGCCAGCAGCTCCCCAAAAGCTTCAGCCCAGCCGGCGTCCATGAGCTGCCTTTTCTCCGTGCACCCTTTCTGCCGCTCACTTTCTTCCCGCTGCCAGAGGCCTTCGCATAAGTCGTCCACGCGAAGGTGCAGCTCTTCCTACTAGCAACACACATTTATACATATACAGGCATACAGGGACGCTCCGCGCCAGCTGGTGGGCCTGTCTTCAGCGCAATCACGCGCAGATAATTAAGCAGCAGAAGCAGCAGCCGCACACCAAGCAGTGCACGGGGCAGGCGGCCCGTGACAGCGCCGAATGGAGTGTCAGCGACTCAGGCATCAGCACGAACACCCGCAGTATCCTCAGCACGGTGCGCCCCCCCTTCTTACTTTGATTTGCTGAAGTTGGATGCTCGTGCCCAGAGTATGCAACGTTTCGGAGTACTGCAGGAGATACTGGTCTAACGCATCGCCTGCCCAGTCGGTTGTATTGAGGAAAGATGCAAAGTGCAGCTGCAGAGACACCTGAGACGCTCGGAGATGATCCTCAAATAACTGAGTCCAGCGGAAGGCCTGCACGAATGCCGCGATGACGCACAAAGCAAGAGACAAAGAAGCCCTCATACACCAGTGGTGCACAGATAAGCACAAGGCGCAAGAGGGACAAGCGAAGGGCCCCCCGCAGAGACGAGTTGCTGAAGCAGCCACACCCGACACCCGCCGAGAAGGGAACGCGCTCCTCCACGCATTAAGCCTCTAAAAAGACAGTAGAAGCCGTCTCACGCCTCCGCATGCCAAACATGCGCTAAGGGGAAAATTTTAAAGACAGGTAAGACGCCAGGAGTCCCCGAGAGCACCCCTGCAGCACCCCCAAACCGAGTCTAGCGTTTGCCTTGCCTGCGTCATTGACTGGATGTAAGACGCAGCAATAGTTTGCCACTGGGAAGACAGAAACGCCTGAGTTTCCACATCGAGGGCCCGAAGCCTACTTGTTATATTGCCTGGAGGCGTAGAAAACAAACGCGGAAAGTGGTTGCTGGCCTCGCATGCGTGTTTTATGGAGAGTGCGGGCAAGACGCGCAAACAAGCCGTCCACAGAGGCACCATGAAGCAAGCAAGGAAGCGGTGGTCCTAGAACCGCTGCTTTACGGGCTAAAGGGGCTCAGAAGGAGAATTAGAAAACGCAGCGCAGTTCTAGCGCCGCCGTCGTGTCATTTTCCTTCCGCCTTTGAGTATCCTTTCTCTGACCGCGTGGGGCGTTAGTGTTCTCCTTCTGTTGTGCTAAGACATAGCCAGGTGACAAGCATCTAGAGCGCCTTCAGAGGCCTCTTACCGCGAATCATTGCAGCTGACGCAGCCGACGGGATATTTTCCCCAAGATCTTCCGTAGGGTCTATTTGACTCAGCGGGTGCGCGTCCTCTGGTGCTTCTTCTGCTGCAATTTCTTCTTGCCCTGTAAAGACACCAAGGCAGAGCGACATACGAAATCTCTTCCGACGGTGAATGCTTCAAAGCATTGTTTTTCGCTTCGTCAAGCTAATCGCGCTGCAAAAGCTGTTATCCCCTAGAGCCATGCGCCTCTCTGGTACATCTGCATCTCCTAGTGCCTCCACCGTCTGCTGCCCTCAGCTGGGGAGCGCGTCACCAGTGGCCCTCCTCTACCTCTGCTTCCTAACCATTAAAGTCTGGTTCCTAAATCCTGGGAAGTACTAAGCCTGCTGAACTTTACCTGCCGAGGTCCCTATGGGCGCCGAGGGAGGCGATTGGGGGAGACTTTCTGCAGTTGTTGCCGCGGGGTGTGCTGCCACTGCTCCCGGTTCTGCCTCCGCGTTAGCAACTGCATCTGCGGTGCCGTCGTGCTGATTCGCCTTGAGGGCTTTCAGCTTTAGCGCTAGCAGTGCTTCGATCTTTCAGCAAACCCAGGAAACCATAGAGCAACCCGGCCTCGGGAACTTGCACAGGCATCAGAGTGACGTGTAGGGAGTTTCTAGCGTTGCTCGAGAGTCACACATGGCTACAGTCCTAGTTTGCACAGCTTGTGAAGGGCCAAGGAGCGGCTTTTTCCGAATCGCGGAGGAGTCCAAGCGCCGAGCAGAAAGGGCGCAGATGGACACTCAGCCGCAGACCCCTATGGAGGCCCCTACCTACCCGTTTGCCCTAGTGGTAATTCCCTTTTAGACCCGTTCATGCCCCTCGAGCGTGCTGCGAGAAGATGAATTTACGGGATCCTCCGCCACTGCACTGGAGGTTTTCCCGCTGGGAAGAAGCTGTCTGCGCTGTGTAGGCCCCTAACTAGCTTTCTACGGGGTGCACTGTGCGGCGAAGCATGGGGCACGACGAGGGTTCTGTGGGTGTGTGCTGTGGCCAGTGCTTGTGCTTACTCTTCGTGTCGCTGCAGCAAAGGCCTCTGTTTCACTGGTGGAAGTGATCCGGAGGAGCCTGGGTCCTTCCTGCAGCACCATCCAGATGAACATAGCCGTTTGGCTGTGGACAAAGGTTTGCCGAGGAATACGGTGCCCAGCAACCAGGAAACTGAAAGCGCAACCCTTCGCGGCAGCAAACCCCATGACTGAATCTCTCTATAAAGGCGTGCACTTTGCTGAAGAGCATCGCAGGTTTGCGGAGTGGGCCCCTGGCTATGGGAGGATGCGGGATTTTTCCATGTGGAGACACAACGGCGCATTGGGGGAGAGTCGACGGGTCATGGAACTAAGGGTTTGAAGTTCGCATACCTGAGTGCCAAATGAAGAGACGAACTCTTCAACAAATCCTTGGTGCGTTTCAAAAGCGAATGCAAGGTCCAGGAGGGAAACCTGAAGGGGCGAAGCGGCAGAGCGGAGGGAGTGCATGGGATGCAGATGCGCAGTAAGCCAGTGGGGATAGGCAACGACTGGAAGCGGAAACGGGGGACAAGGTGGCTGTGGGAAGGCAGGAAGGGGGGGAAGCGTGAGGTTGGAGGGGGAAAGGAAGTGCATTCATTGAGCACAGGATTAGTAAAGACAGCAGCAGAAACGCCGGTGAGCGGGCGCGTAAAGGTGACAGATCGAGAGAAGCAGCATGAAGCGTAGTTAACAGCTAACTTTGCACCAGAGAGGTAGAGGGTGTATCAGATACAAAGAAACATCAAGGGAGAGAAGCGGTGCTCAGGAGATGGAGGGAGGCGCGATGCACAAGGTTTGTGCATCCGAATGAGCACACAAGGGCAGGGGCACGCTCGACACGCGGTGGAGCGAGCTTGCTAGGGTGTAGGGGCCAGAGCGTGGGAGGCGCTATTGCACGTGGTCGAACTGGATACCACGGAGTCTTCTTTTTCTTTCTCTCGATGCGCCACTTCGGCCTCGTCAACTATTTGGAACGTTGTGCTGCAATTCGCAGGACCCTCCTCGGCTGCCATCCCTCTGAATATGACTTCTTGCATTGGCAGATCCAGCAAAAAATGGGCATCCGCACAACCCTCTTCCAAGCCCTAAGCCCTCGATCACAAACTCCAAATTCCTATGTGTGCGCCCTCAGCCCCACAATAACCCGCGCACTCCAGCAGTTAATGCTCTGTTAACTCCTAAGATCGACAGACGTTACGACTGCGGAGGCTCGAGTATAGGAAGGGTGCTCATGGCGTTTGCCCCTTCGTTTTGTGCCGGTGAAGTTAATGGACCCCCCGGCCTTTTCTGCCTGCAGTTCTGTGGCTTTCAAAACCCTTACCGGCTGTACTTCTTCTTCTTTCGGCATCTGAACTAGCAGTGCGCTGACCCCCTTGAGAACGTCCAGCTTTTTAGGGGCCCTTCTCTCCAGCGCCACAAAACCAGAGAGCTGTTCCTCCAGAATAGAGTACTGCAGCGCTGTTGTTGGGAAACCCAGCAGAATCCAGCCGCAAAGGGGGCCCTCATTGCCCACTCCACTCTTCCTGGAGGGGCCTACACGTTCCGCTGGAGATTCCTTACTTCCCTTTGACTTCTTGCCTGAAGAAACAGCCTTGACACCATTGACGCCGCCGCTGCCGCTGCTGCTGCTGCTGCTGCTGTTGCTGCTGCTGGGGTCTTCGAAGTCAGTCGCACACAGACGCAGCAGCTGCTCTTCTGGAGTATTACTCCCTCCTTTTGGGAACAGCTCTTGCAGCTTTGCAACTATCAGCCGCACTGCCAACTCGTCGGGTAGAGGGCATCCTCTCATCAGTTGCTGCACTGCTTGCGCTCCCAAGTCCTTCAAGACACTTGCACCGCTCTCATATGGGGCTGCTGTTGATGGTGCCCCAAGAACCGATTTGATCTCATTTTCATCAGTATCCTCCCCAATTTTAGCTCTCTCACCAAGGGAACAGGCTCCCATCTGCTCTGTTACAGCCGAAGCAGTTTCTTGCAAAAACTCCTGAACAATCCCCTCCAATGTCAATACTTTCAGCTTGTATCGCGTGGCTAGCTGGTTAGCCAAAGTCTCTGTGCCACTCCCTGGCTTCCCTGTCATGATTATGCGCAACAAGGCCCCTGGGGGCTCATGAAGCCTTGCAGGTCGAGAAACGTGTACCGTATGCTCAAGCAGACAACGCACCATCTCCCCCAGGAGCTCCAACTGCGGCTCCTGCACGCTTCCTTCTACCGTATTGGCAGCTTCAGCAGCACCATGCGCAAGCCCTCCGAAATTTCCGCCACGTTCTAAGCTTCTGTCTAGTGTCTTTAGCGATGTGTCTGAAGCCTCAACTGCTGCAGCGGTCTCGGGACGGTCTTGTGACTTCAATACCGAAGCTAGAAAGCCCCCCAACCGAGGCAGCGACGCGACTTCAGGAAGCGAGAGATCCTCCTGGCTAGTCGACCAGCTACCCTCAGCATGGAAGTACTCTCTAAATTCGTTTAAAAGGGAAGCAGGGAGAGGCACGGGCTGGCTATCCTGCCGCCAGAAGGAGACGGACACAGCTGGTGGAGTGGCAGGGATGTGCAAAATGATCCCGGAGGAGGGGGCAGAGCCTTCTTGTATTTCTGTTGAAGTGACTGAATCTGTAGCATCCTCTGAAAGCACGAACCGTGTTAGCCAGGAGCGCCAGACTCTCCGCGGAATTATTTGACAGTCAAATTTCTCTTTGTATTTGCCGGCTTCTATCACTAAATCCACTATTTGTTCCGCTAAGGCCTCGCATTCTCCAATTAACCGAGACCGCTTTAGCGCTCGGCGAACAGTATGAACACTACGACATATCCTGGCTTGCTCTTGTAACGCAGCTTCAGTCAATACACGCCTCGTGGTTGCAGTCAGTTGGGAGTGACGCTGCTGCACTGCTAGTCTCTTCTTTTCTTGCTCATCCCAAAGCTTCTTGTTTACTTCTATGTTACAGCGAATCACCCTCTCATACTTTCTGGCTCTTGTTACCACAGAAACGAGCTCGCTGCTCTGAGCAGAGCGCTTTTGAGTGCCAGCAGCTACAGAGGCAGTGAACTGAGCATCTAGTAATTCTCTGCACCTTTGCGCCTGCTCTATCATCAGGCGCTGTCTCAGTCTCGATCTTTCATGGCATGAGGACTCTTGGGCTTGGCGTATGCTGTGGAGGCGCGTCATGAGACGGGAGTTGAACTCTCGCTGACTCTGGAGTGATGGCAACTTTCTGTACATCTGATGGAGTGCCTGCTCAACGTCTCCACAGGCAGCTATGCTTTTGGAACTATCGAAAGCAGTCTCGTTTATTTGGACTCCCTGTCTCTGCAGTATCATTTCAAAATTGTCAATGCTTTCCAACACTTCTGCCCTCTCAGAGGCCGCACAATGAGCTAAGGGGCCGCCTGTGCCGCCACCTTTTAGCTTACTAGCTGCACTACGAGAACGAGAGAGGCATTCAGAGCCCTCAACACTGCTGTTCCCTGTGTCACTCTGCGGAGCTGGTGCTGGGAGCCGGGCAGCCGATGATGTGCCTGACGACACTTTGCTTCTTTTCTGTTTATCGTCACCCGACGGTTTTCCAGCCGCTTTTCCTAAGCCCAAGGAAGCTGATTGAGAGGCGTTGCTCAATTTCTGCCCCTTGGTGTGCTTATTTGTGGCTTCCATTATCTGTCTTAAAAGGCGGGAGGCCGCCCCTGGTTTCCCCTGTACAATGCTGTGCATTTGTGCAGCGGTGAGTTTGATGCTAATCTTTCCTAGCTCTCGTTTGAGGGCAATAAAATTTTGCACTTGTGATGCCTCTCCGGACGATTTTTGGAAGGTGTTTATGTCCTTGAAAACGGCTAGACGCCACAGGATCTCCGCAAACAGGTAACCCGATGCGAAGTCTCTTTCTATGCAGAGGATTGGGCAGGAAAGCTGCAAGCTTTCCAACCAATCAAGTAAAGAGGCGTCCATTTTGTCTAAAAACGCTATTATGTGTGAAGGGCAAAATGCTATAATCTAGGATACCGCAATATGCGGCCCCACGCGAAGGGATTCACGCCATGTGACCCCGGTAAAACACCAACCTCTCTGAAGGAGCACCTCACGACATAACTTGCTCCAGCAGTAAAATAATCCAATCGAGAGATGTTTTTGGAACTATATGGGGGAAATGGGGCTTTCCTGAACAGCAGGTGGAAATCGGCGTGGGACTGCTCTGCCGGCGACGAACCAAGTGCGTTGATCATTTGTGAGTGTTCAAGCGCTTAGGATTCATACCTGGTCTGGGTTTACAGTTTTAATTGTTAAAAATGAATATTTCACTGCTTTGTGCGCTGTATGATACATGGTTGTTCTAGTAAAGGGGGGGCAGATCCGATAACCGCTTGAATTCAAGGGCTATCTGTAAACTAAAATTGAAATCATAGACCAGTACCCTGATAATTGACAAATTTCCACTGTGGAACTCAAGGCGGATACGCTAATGCTCTCTAGGGCGATGGGCAACAACATTCTGACCAGGGGAACAAGTTTTCTTCCTGTATGATATGAAGCTAACTCTTTCATTATCAGCAACACTAAGATGAAAAGCAATGGCACTCTTCCGGAAGAAAGCATGCCTGGGGCTCTCGCTTTGTTTCTGGTGTCTTGCACACCGGTCATGAGCAAAGGGCTCTACGCAGGCCCAATACCCTCATAATATCTGCTCGCTCCTGCATAAGTGTAGCTTCTCTCGATAATTCACTAACTGCTGCCTAACTACCATGATGCCACGAAATCTGAATGACCTGAAACTTCACATGGCTTTCTCACAAAGATCTGCGATTGGAATGCCCCAGTTGACTGCCCGTAAAGGACGGGAGTGCAAGGAAGACAACGCAAGTTTTGTGGTACGCTGCTGCATAGGACCAATTTTGGAAGCTCCAGTGCATATGCATGCTTTAGGAACCACAGATTAACCAAAATATATGGTCCCAACATCACCGATGGGGGGGACCCATGTGTAGTCAGAAGAACGAAGCAGAGTCGGTACCGAGAAGATGCGGCGCTTCTCAAGCAAATTATGAAGCGACCAGCCAATTGAATGTATTTCAACCGGAAAAACCTAGCTATGATGGCAGACATACCCAGCAGTGCGCTTATGCCGGGAGTAGCGGTTTTTCTGGACAGACATACACAGACTGGCAGTGTAGCCAGCCGCCGATAGCCTGTTACCCTGGCCGCGGCTACGGCCGTTCACCCCGCCAGGGATCCTTTCAGGATCATAGCAGTTACACACATTCTGTTCATCAGCAACCTGCATCCCAGGGCGTCTTGCCCCAGTGCACTGCCGAGCAGCGTCACATTCTGCCTGACATTACGCAAGCTGGATACTTCCAGAGTGCACTTTCAAATAGTTACGGCGCCATAAAGCCTACGCAGCACTCCCAACGAGATTCTTGGTTTATGCCCGTACCGGGGCATGAGAGCTGTACTATGCCGCGCACAGCTATCGTTGATGGATCTGGTGGCGGGCCCATGCATCATCTACCGTCACAAGAAAACTTCAAAATAAAGGCGCCGAAAAGGGCAGTGGTACCTCAGGCTGCCGTCTACCAGACGTTTTCGCAGGCTTGTTCGACTCAGGCTGAAACCATTAGCTCCACTCAGAGAGTTAGTGCTTGCGAGCCTCCAAAAGTAAGAAATCGCCAAACAAATCGCAGCAAGCGAGCATCTAGCGCTCACCGGCACGCTACCTGAAATCAGGTAAAGAAACCAACAATGCTGCAGCCTTATATGCGCTTGGAGGGCGTCTTTCAACATGGAAATTACCGGTAGGTGCCTCGTAGTGCTTGAATTCTTGCGAGTGTTCGATGCTAGATGCTTCTGGATGGGCAGATATCAAAAGTACATTGACACTCGTCCTGGCGTAAAAGGAAAGTTTTGGCTAAAGTGTGAGCAAACATACCCTGCAGTGGTGAACTATTAAGAGTGCCGCACGGCCTTTTCAGGTACTTACTGTGCGTCCAACAGAATATATCGGAAAAAGGAAAGTCTAAGGCGGCACATGGAATCCGATGGGTGCGGATGGAAACCAGAAGCGCCAGCGGAAGAGGGGACAAGCATGCCCGTCAGAAGCGAAGGCGAGCTTCAAGGATCTGTGGCAGCTTTGCCTTTGGAGCATGTAGCAGTGGGGAATGGCGCAAATTTTCAAAGCGCTTTGATGCCTTCCATGGCAGTTTCTGCGGTTCCTGAGGTGGAGGCTGCCTGGGATCCGCACTCGGCCTGCAGCACAGACTACGCTGAAAGGTTCAATCAGCTCCCTAGACAACGAGTCACGCCTCGCAATCCTGATAGCATAAGACCTTCTTCAACAGGCGTGATCGCGGCACAGCACACACTACGCCTGAACGGCTACGCCTCCAACAGTGGCTCTCAATGCGACTCCCAACCCGCAGACCTCCCATGCGCCGGCTATTCAAATACCTCCGGCCCTTTACAACCCCACGGGGGGGAGATGAAGTCTACCCGTGGGAATCATGCAACTTGTCAAAGGCTGCAATTTTCTCCAATGCCTTCAGACGTTTCGACATGCTTAGAAGACCTTCCGCTGGAGCAATTGCTACGCCGTCTCTCTGAACGCGATGTACAAATGCTTATGAGAACCATCATCAGCACCTCTGCTGCGAGCAGCCCTCCAGCAAGCGCATGCGTTCTCCCGGCAACCAAGAAACGCAACAGTGGAGATCGGGGCACAACGCATCAATCTTCGCTTGCTGCTCCGCTTTTGACGGATGCCAAAACTGCTTCTCTTCCAGAGGATACCACAGAATCAAGGCCAGGAGACGCGAGCAGTGCAATCATTCCGCAGATCCCACAGTATGTGCCCAACGATTGCCACATCAGCCGCTCTCTGCCCGACTCTAGCCAGGCATCTGATGCCTTGAAGGGGGAAATTCACCAGTCCGAAAAGCTCCTTGTCTCGGCGAAACCGGCACTGGAGCCTCTGTCAACTAGCGCCGCCAGGAAGATAGCTGGCTGCCTCGAAGCGCACATCCAACCCGGCCCCAAGAGCAAAGCAGCAGGTGTCAAGACTGAAACTGTCAAGGCAAGGCCTTTCCAAAGAACTTGTGGCGTCCAAACCACCTTGAAACTGCAAGAGAGTGAGTGAGCTTCTCTTTGGGTGTACTGTACGTGTGTTGAACGAGTAGCTCAATTGCTGACTTGGCAGTTGAAAAGGCCCTCACGCTTTACGCTTTGCACAACAAAAATAAGAAGGGGAATCACCCGCAGCAGAAATCCAAAGCGGACGCCCAAGCAGTAACCAGGGAGTCGGTTAGAGCACACCCGGAGAATGCCCACACAGAGAAGGCCTTAGTAAGTATATATCGGCGCAGTGTCAAGGAGTTTTTGAGGCTCATGCTGTTTTTGAATTCAATTGATGTCGTGTAGCGAGGGTCGATCAAAGTATCGAGTAGCGCCACCGTGGCCAGCCATCGACGTACAAAGGATGAAGAAAAAACAGACGCACTCGACAGGAAGCAAACAAAAAGAAAGGCGAGCCAGCGTCTGTCTTGCTTGCGGCACGACAAGAAAGAAGAAGAAAAGGTTCTTCAACATGCATGCGTTTATTTTAAATTCGCAAATGCATGTTTCTGCTTGCACAGGTCTTGCGGCAGCAAAGCATTGACTTCCCTTTGCTGCTTGTGGGCGCCTCTCTGCTTATCAAAGAGAATCGTATGTCTTCCGTTCGATCTACACCTGTTTGTCCTTTGTTGCCGCTCATTGGTATACCGCTGCCAGAAAGAGATTTGTGGGATAGCTGCACGGTTGGCGCATTCCACGCCTTGACAAAACAGCACGACGTCACGTTGGCCTCCACTGCTCGCACGAAAAAACTCCGGCTGTGCGAGCATCAGCTGCTTATCAAGCATGAAAGCAAATAACTGCGAAACACGCGATTCAAAACGAAGGGGCTTGAAACAAGGAGGAAAGAAGCCTCTGATTCCTTCAAAGCGTGGAAGTAGAATGATTCTGCACTTCCAGCGTTTGTAGCAAAAAGTTGCTGGTTTGAGTTGTGCATTGCTTACATCAAAGTATTTTAACTAAAAACGTCTATTGGAGAAAGGCTAAAGTACTCTGTTCAAAAACTGCAATAACAAAGCCCATAGTACTTAAACAAATTTTCAACAATTAAAGCAAAATCATTCTAAGCAGAATGCTTCAGTATTCAAAACTCAAAGTAATCTAATCGTGGATTGTTATGGATCCTCATCAATCGAATTACATCTAGGGTCACAGGATGAACTTGCTTTCAGAAGTATTTCTTAATGTGTTGTAACTGAAGTTGTGTCTGTTATTGCTCTGCCGATATCTCTTTAAGTTTCCCCATGACCTACTAAGGGTGCCGTTGCTCTCATGATCGGCTGAACGCTCTCCTACTTTTCCCTTCATGCGGGTTCCCTCCCCGAGCTTTATGAGCCGCGCCAGGGCGATGAAATGAATCCATGATATTTATCCAGCTGGACAGATGAATATCATCGATCCTTTGAAGCAAAATGCAGATCTCGCTATAAAGTATTTTCTTAGCTAGCCATAATAACTGCAGAGATTCTCACAATGGAAGCATACGGCGATCAATGTTGCACAATGGAATCAAATCTCTGGGAACTTTCATGCTGTTTTGCATTTAGTGAACACTTCTTCGCACTGCTACCGAGGTTCGGCAACTGTGGAGTAGAAAATATTGTAGGTAACATTTAGGTTTTTAGCCTTTTCGTTGTATTCATTTGGTGTCAACTGTCAACCAGTGTAGTACCCCACAACGGGGGCCTGGACACTTCATGCCACGCCACCCACTGCATTAAAAACGTATTTACGCTTTTGATTTATTCAAACACCAAAATCAGAAGAATCAGGCATAAGTGCATTGACATGAGGTATTTCTTGAGAGAGCAACTGTTGCACAATTTGTCATCATTTATCAGGATGTATCTTTCGGAGTTGACTCGGGGAGGAGGCCAAACACAGACTTTAGATCGGTTTCATCTAATAAACCAGCAGTGTTTAAAAGCGTTAGTCATAACTCATTGTTCCATCAAATCACTTGCTTGTGATGTGCTGGGAAGTGCGAGATGAACGCCGTGCTGCACGGCCCAGAAGTACCTGGCTTTTGCAAGTAGTAAGAAAGGGCTTAATTCAGTGTTTGCCCTCTAATTATACGCCGACCCACAATTAACCTACAACTGGCTGCGGTTACTGCCTATACTCGAATAATGGTCTGTAGATTTACATATACACATCTTGCCCAGGACAACTAGCACCGCTTACACACAATGCGAGGGCCTCCTTCGCCTGGAAAATGACATCTTGATTATTGCCACAGGCTTGCAAAAATGACGCGCCTCTTGTAGTTTAGAGCCCGAAGACACCTGCTGGCGCGCGACTTTTTCGAGCTCTGCACGAAACCAAGCGATGGGTAGGAACGAGCGGAGCACTCGATTTGCGATGAGTAGGGGTTAAGCGCACTAATCGGCCAGACGAATTTGCAATTAATGCTTTAAGACGTGGAATCAACACTATTACGACGCTTTCAGTACTTTCCATACTTTAGTCCTGCTGATAAGCAAGGAGCACAAGCAGTGTCTCGAGTGTAGGGGCAATCGGTGATATTGGTTCATGATAATGCACAAATTCTTCCCTTATCCGGGGAATACGATGAGCTTTGTGGGCAAATAAAGCAATTTTCTGAGCTTATATATTGTTTTACTTCATATACTCACAAAGAAGCTGTAATTTGAACCGAAGGACACGAAGCAGCATACTGCACGAGGTGCTTCCACCCTCCATTTCGTACCACTTTCGTCAAGGCATCATTTTCTGGCTATTTTTGTGCTTTTCAATTTTATCCTTGCCAAAAGAATTAACAAGAGTTAGGGGCTATCCAGTAATCTTGGGTTTTCCATTCGTACATTGCGCCACCTTCTTAGCTACGGGCGTGGGATTCCGTCGTCAGCGCCTTGCCCAGCGGAACGCAGGAAGTTTACGTACCATAATCTTCCGTCCACGTGTTTCTCCCACTGTTTACCTTTCTCTCCCTCAGCAGCTAGCGTCAGCGTACTCGACTACTCCTCATATCTATTGTTAAGTGAGATTTGCACGCATTTGGAGAGCTGTTCATGGTTGTCCCTTGATGACAGGGTTATTCGCCTAGCTGGTATTCCACATCATGCTTCAATCAGCGAAAATGTCTTCTTTTTCCCCGGGCTGATTGGATCTTTGCTGTTGCTGTGGTGCATACGCCCTGCTGCACCCACGCCTTCACAGCCTAGCTTCACTTCTTTGACGAGTTCCTCAAACTCTGATTCGAGCAAAAGCCGCGACTATGGCATCCATGCGAGACATGGAGCCTCTAGCATTGTGGACTACAACTTCACACCTCCAGGTTTGGCTATTGGACTGACGCCTGGTACGCCAAGAAGCGAGTCATTCACTGTTCCCCAGGGGAGCCCTCAGCCATTGCTGGAGGTCTCTGAAGCTTCCCACACGGTCACGAAGCTTGAGAATCCTGAATCGTTCGAGCTGATAAACAATTTCGGCACCACCGCGCTAGACAGTTTCGCGGTAGAGGAAAGTGATGAACCCTCCACCGTACCAGAAATAAGCCTGGAGGATAGAACTAGACGCGACTGCGGCTTACCTTGCGATGCAGTGGCCATAATAAATGCTCCGAACAACCAATCCAAAATTATGCTGGTATCACTGGCGTTTCTTGGTGTCTTAGCGCTGAAACGGCCATCAGCTTCGCCTTCGAATTCTGCCAGACCTACCGACTTCGGAATGCAAAGAGGTGGGCATCGTCACCACTGACTAGAGACTACGAAATGCATGACAACATGAACAGCTCTCAACTGCACATAAAGCTCCTTAGTGAGCCAGCAGAGCTGGTGCTGGCAGTTCATGCCATATTGGAAGGGGAATTAGGCCGTGATGCACATGCAACGTGGATCTCTCGGGGATCAAATCTCCAGGAACTCAACGTCCACTCAAGTATTTGCTTTTCGAAGAAGCATAAGCGTGCTTTGATGAAGCTACATTTTGGCGAACCTACGTGTTCTTCGTTGGCAGAGATGATGTTCGAAATTGTTGTGCTGGCTGAACAGCAAGCGGAAGCCGAAACCGACAAGCTGTCCATAATTGGTAAATCGGAAGCCACATGACCACTCACAGCGCGTAATAGCGCTTATCGAAGGCAGTTTCATTCTCTACTCCGCTACAAGACTAATCTGCAGGTAATTAAAGTAGCGTCAAACAACGTGGAAGAGCTTGTGACTTGCTACTAGAAAGCTCTTTCTGCAACATTTAAGAAATGAAATGAGAGCAAAAGAAAGTGGGATGCTCCAATATACCCTTTGTCAGCGGTCTCCTTTTTTTGCGTTCAACTCAATAACTGTTTACTTTTTGATGTGTGTAAAAGCTTTGCTCCCCCATGATGTCACTGATCATACTCCCCGACTGAACAATATAAAAAGTGCCGATGGAGTCGAACCAGGCAACATAGTGCCACACCGAGGGTGCTCTACGTAAGTTTAGCAAAGGGACTCTGCCTGAAATCCTCAGACGCAGTAGTTGTAGCTTCGACCATTGCAGGTGTCTTGTGCGCGGCAGTAGGTTACCCCGTTCAAACTTATCCTAATAATTGGTAAATGAGCAGGAGTACACATACCTTCGTAAGTGCTTGCTCTGAATATCGTTCTGCTAACACAAATGAGCTAGCGCAGGAACTTCAACAGATCATAGTTGTTCCTGCAGTTGCGTATATCCGCTCCCTACTGAGATATAGACATGTCACACAATCATGCTCGTAGGATTCGTCCCGCAAGGAGCTGGAGGCATTATTTCGAACTTCAATTCCCTGGCTGCAGTGCCACGACCATGCTTCACAGACGGCCTGAAAGGAGACAGGCTCCTTGCGGATAACGCATAAGCAATATTCCACTTCCCTTTGTAATGACATAAAACATACAGAGGATGCTGTCGCACTTCAAACCATATGGATCACTACCCTTATGCACGTACAAATAGAGGAATTGGGCAATAACTCCGCAATATTCTGCAATTAGAAGGCAAGCTAGTAGGCAGAACTTGAACAGGGAAGAAAGTGAGCATTTATTCGGAAAGAACTAAGCTTAGCGGGCTTAAGGATCTCAACCGTGTCTCTTCTGGCTTACCTCTCCCTTGGACTTATGCTATCACCGTGTATTTGGGGGACAAATTCGTGTTTGGGTACGTCAGCGAATTCCCAACAATGATTAAGATTTACACAACAACGTTCAAAAGAACGACGACGCAGGCATATTAACAGTGAGGAGTTTTTTCTGCGGTTTGCTATCGTGCATCATTCAAAACCAGCACAGGATGTGCAGCACCCAGCACAAGAGCTTCTTCCTATTTGAGGCATCGATTTGAGACCGAGGTCCGTCAAGCGTTGATCACAGAAAGAGGAAGGCGACAGGATGTGACGGACCCCAATTGATGAAACACAAGTTCACAAGTTAGAGTTAAAAGGAGAAAACTCGAGACAAACTCAACGGAGTATGCCCCCTTGTATGTGTAGCTCAACGTATGAAAGTATCCAGCGACTGTGCTTGCTTCGCAATGAAACACAGCAGGCCCAGTAACAGGATCACAGAAAAAAGTCGAATTATTATTGTTTTAAAAAGTAATGTTGCAATTAGTGGGTGCTTCGATAGATAACCCTTGCCTCCTAATGGCTGGAGGATCCGCGGGGGCCCCATGGCTGCCTTTCTTGTATCGGGATGGAGGGTGTTGTACTGAACTTTCGACTATTAACTAGTAGTTCGTGTGTTGTTTTAGATAGCACTAGGGATTATGCCAGTTTGCATTTGTCTCCCGCTTCGCGCAAAAGTTTTTCCAATGCTACCGTCCTACTCCCATGATGGTCTCTTTTAGTAAAGAGGCAGTCCCTCTACAATTCAACGATTCCACGCCAGCCTACTCTAATTCCGGCAATAGTGGGAAGGCCCCTCAGGACCCAGGCGTGGGGCGGGAAAATGCTGGTTTACCGACGAACGCCGCAGCGGAGCATCGAACAAAGCTAGAGAGACGGTTGCAGGCCCAGCTCAGAGATGGAAAGCGCAGCAGAGACGTTAAAAGGCTGCAAGATCCTCTTGTCAGACACCTACTTAGGGTGGCAGGTAACGCTTCATACAGGTAGGTTGCACCTGCACCGCAAGCTGTTCGTTGGCGTAGCAGATTCCTAGGGCGTGTTCTGTTCTCCATGCACAAACTCTGTTTGCACTTGGACTTCTACAAAAAACATAATTGCTGCTTGTGCAGGAACATGCGGCAGAGCGTGATTGTTACGGGCAAAAGCCTTATTTGCGAGCTTCTTAATGCCTTTCCTTGTAGACGCTTGGCATTACGGCGTCAAAGCATAGCAGCACTACAGGCGTCTTTGCCTGGATTTCGCAAGTTCATCGGTTTCGCAAATGCAACACAGGACGTCGAGCCTGTGAAGGAATCCAAGAGCGAGTCGGCTGCAAAAACCGACGGGCACTCTGACCTTTTAGGGACCCGCTCACCGTTGAACTTTCACGTTGAGACACATTATGTCAGCAACCGGATTCTGCGAAAGGTACGTGCGCCACCCTGGTTCTAAGAGCTGGATTATGGTATTTCGCGACATTCCTTCAAAGGCTTGTAGTGCATGCAGAGGGCTTGTGATGATTGCTGCATCTCCGCAGGTAGCGGGTTTCCACTCCTATGACGATGGCTGCATCGCTGAAATGCAAATGCCTGAACCGGCCGATAACTTTGGAAACATTCGGCTACTCCTTTGTTTGGGTCGCCTCCCCTCATCTATTGGGCAAAACGGCCCCCATAATTTGCCAGCAGTCTCTGCGCCAACACATGATTCTTCGGATTCAGGAGCTACTGGCACTTTGTTGCGGACTGCAGCAGCACTGCAGTGGCAAGGCGCTTGGATCTTGCCTTCGTGTCCAGATGTCTTTAATCCACTTGCTATAAGAGCCTCACAGGTGCGTCATTCAGTCAACAGTAATCTAGTGACGCATGAAGAAAGCTCTGTGTGGATGCGTGCCATCCATATGGGCAGTTTTCTGTGTTTGGTGATTCTAGGGTGCGTTATTCTGGCTACCATACCGCTTCGGGAGCATCGCGGAACTTGTGCAACTTTGCAAAGAGCAGGATCTGGCAGTTTGTATCCCACACGAAAAAGGTACCCCAGCAAAAACTCCCGGTATTCTAGGTAGCGGAAAGAAAAAAGGAGTCTGCCTAATACTGGACTCCAGCCTGCAAAGCATTGCAGATGCTATGATTGATGGTGCTTCCACACAGAAGGTAGATATTGGCGGTTTCTCCTCGGACGTTAAGCCACTTTTGGGAAAGCAGACATCAAAGTGTCTGCCTTCAGCAAAGTCCGTATTCAAGCCGGATATGTTTCTCTCACTCGGTGCAGATGTGGCTCCTGATAAGAGCATGCAACTTTTGCATCCCATTACAGTAGCATCGCTACTCCTGTATCACACGAAACAGGCCCATTTTCCCAATCTACGCGGTTCCCCTTTCCTTTTTTCTGTCGGACAAAAGTCGTAATTCCCATGGCTTATGTCGCTGTGACAATGTTTTGATTTACACGCTCCAGGGTATCTCACGAAAATCCTGCTGGAAAGGGTGTTGCGCGAGGTGCCCGATCCAACGCAGTGCATACGGAGCGAACAAAATGCGAGCTGTGACTTTACACCGCGGTTGTGAGCGAAGCAACAGGCATGTATTCACTGCTGGTTGCTGCGACGATGCTAGCCAGGGTCGTCGCATAGAAAGCTGAAATTTCACATACTTCACTTGTCTTCAATGCAGCGTGTATTGAAACGAAAAATGCCTACCAATTAACCCCCTGGTTATGAAGGCTATTATATTGAGCCTCCTGAATTCAGTGGTTCAGCATGTGGAGTGACAATCTACCATAGAAACTTTTAATTACTTGACAAGGAGGGTGAAAACCATCTCCAGCATCATTCCAGCAAGGGCGATCTTGTATACAGAGCGCCAATCATCGCTTCTTGCCGACTTTGCAAAATATGCCCTTGAAGACGAGGCAAAGAGGATAGCGACGTATACCACACGAAGGACGATGGTAAATTTCCTGGCGGAAACGAAGGCAACTATAATTGTTAAAGATGTTTTAGCAACGAAGGAGCTTCCTACCAGAGGCTACTGACGTTTGTCAGTGTTTGGGCAACGGCACGCGCAACCCCAGCCGTGTGGAATGGGGAAATTGTCATGGAGAATAAGAACACCTCAGTGAGGGTACCAACTGCGAAGGCCGTCATAAACTGTGAGAGCGTTGAAATATCGTGGGAGCAAGCAGTGCAAAATTGCCCTACTCGGCTACGGTTCTTGCAGATGGCATCGTCAACCTCTTCTACAGTGGTGTACCGACGTGAAAAGCTAGAGAAAATGTCACCACAAGCGGCAGGAGCAGCCTCCTGAGCCTCATCGTCCTGAGGACCTCCGTTCGGTGTTGCAAAAGAAAGGCCTAACAAGACGGTAGTGCTTGATGCCCTCTTGGAAACATACTAACTCATGGTCAGCTGCCTACCCAGAACCGCCGCTGTTGCCGGATCGTTCACCAAGATGTTCAATAGTTTCTCGTCGATCTTGTTGGTAGGCTGGATTGCCCCAGCCTCGGGGGCCAGAACAGCATCAGACGTCATGTGCTAGTTTTGTAAGCGTTAAAGAAGGATGAATCGCTCCTTCATTCAAAAATACGTATTCACGCGCAGTGAAAAAATTGACGCCACAATGCCGTGTAGGCTGGCAGTGCCCAGGCCGCTGTCCAGACACTCGAACACTGCCGGTGCATCTCTTCACTTTTGGATCCTTGAAATCGAGGCCCTATGGAAGGAAGCATGAAAAAGAGTTTTGTAGTGAACGCTAACCCTCCCCAGATCTAGACGTTTCCATTTATGGAACGGGGCCTCTTACTTAAGGCGACTGTCTGGGAACCTGCATTCGTAGTTGCATGCTCCATTGAAAACCAGCAGAATGTCACAGCTAGACTCTTTGTACCGTTGAGAGGCCAATACGCCTATTTTGAATTGCCACTAAAGTCGGTATAATCACATGGGCACTACCTGCTAGTCAAGAAAGTAGACCACGAAGATACGAACATTCCGTACAAAGCCCAACCTTGCTACCCTCTAACGGGTCCCCCTGGCAACTAGGATGCCAGGAAAAAATAGCACGGTTTCCAATAATACCGAATCATGGCATGCGGTTTGTCAGGATACTTACTAATTGCGTCAGATAACGACACGAGCTCTTCAAGAAATCGCGCCACTGAAGCTTCGCTGGACACACTGGGGAGCCCTGAAGAGAGCCACTGCCACCGTCTGTTCAAAAAAGTACTCACGGAGTCACCCACTACTCATTCCACCTTTGCACACGACTGACGGGACAGCACATAGCACGTGGTGCAAAATCGCTTTCGTACTGAATAACTGGACCGAGATAAAATATTTAGCTTTCCCAGATGCACCATCTTCTTGAAGACCAGAGGGTGCATTGGTCAGCTTTTCTGAAGTGTATCATGGATTCAACTACTCCCGACGTTGGTACGTTATGAATGGCTGCACCAACCACGAAAACCTGAAAGGATGGAATACCACAACTGTGCTGGCCCTGGACTGCCAGAGGTCATATGCATTTAAGTTCTGTTGCTTTTCCGCCCATGAAATTTATTCGGCGGGCAAATCGACGGATTCTCTTTCAAAGCACTGCAAGCAATGGCTGCCAAAACCGCTCGGTCCCGGACCCAAACTCGCAGTTCTCTTCTAAGAAAGGCTCTTTTCTATCACTACAAAAAGGATAAGGATCCAACTAAACTAGATATCATCCAGCAAGTGAGATGCAGCTCCTGTTCCAGGAGCTGGAGCAGGAAGTGTTGGCGCAGCGCCCTTGATATACTGGTAGGTCATGCGGCCGTATGCTCCAGGTGGGACGTAGTTCCTCCTTATTTTCGGCGCCTGGCTAGCCAGTACTTCGTAGTTCCTTGCTGTATAACAGCAGTCGCAAAATACGGGAAATCAAATCATTAGACTTTACGTGAGACAGCGAAGAACAGAAGTGTGTCATAATGACTGAAGCCAGCTTTTCCGTCTGTGGAGTCTTACCAGCTTTGCCTCCGTTGATATTGACTCCAAGCTTCTTAAACTTCCTCAAGGTTTTCGAATCGTTCTTCTCTACTTTCTTCACAATGCCCTAAAGAAGCAAATGCACCGACCCCATAATTTCCCATTAGCTGTCAAGTATTCTTGGTGTTGATGAAACATTGATGCACTCCAGTCAGACAGATGTTTTCCGGCCTTTACTGCACAGCGAACTGCTAAGCTGAGCGATAAAAATTAGATTTTGCGGAAATCTTCGCCATCGGAACCATACAGAGATCCAACGGAGGAACACAAACGGTAGTGCGCACTCACCGTAATCTGCTTGTTCCTTTCAGAATCAATTTCCCTATAAAGAACACAGAGAAGCTAAAAAAGGCGCATCAAAAGGGCAGTAATTTGGCACGGACATGGCAATTACGCAAGGCAGCAGTAATTTTCATGGGCTGTCGCAATGTAAGTGTGCGTTGGGTGCCCACGGCACCAAGGGCGACTCTATGACATGTGTAGGTAAAGGTACACGCTCGTATGCTTCCGTGAGGAGGCTCCAATCACAATTAATTCCTTCTAAAATGGATACTCCCGCCAGCTTTGAGTGGATATTATAGTGCTCTCATAAGCAGAGAAAAGGTCACCAGTTTTCAGTCACGCCTAGCGCCTCACCTTTCCTTCCACTTGCTGCGAAGGACGCGAATCGGCCTGTTGCCAACGTATTTGTAGTTCATCTCCTTGATAGCCTTCAACATGTCATTCGGATCAGTGAAGGATACAAAGCCTGCACAGGACCAGAATACAGCCTGCCTGTGGTGACTCTTCCATGCACTGGCAAAGTGCAGCCCGCATTGAGAACAGCGCACTATGTTCCCTTGTAGAGCAATATTTTCCCTTCAGTAATCGGTCATGAGAAAAAGTGACTCATTTGCTGGTCTCTCTACTAATAAAATCTGCACGAATCACCAACTTTTCGCTAGAAAATTTTACGCCACATCGATACCTCTGCTGGCGTCAAAAAGCGTGGAAGTGCAACAGCTCCATTACCAGACACAGCGAGGGATCGTTGCTGTTGTCGGCGCTGTTGTGTAAATGTACATGTATACATGTATATATATATATATATATATCTGCGCGTATCTAAACAAATCTTGGGTTTTGGCATCAATCTGCAAGTACCATAGCCCTTCGTCTTCCCGGTTCGTTTGTCTCGAACGACTCTCGCCTTGTCGAAAGATTTGTACTTCCTGAAAGCTCCGGCTAACACCTCGTCGGTGACTTCGTTTCCGAGGTCTCCACAAAAGACTCTGCGCCAGCATGCAGCGCAACGAACCGCGTGAGTCAATACACCGAGGGCGATAGGCGTGTTGCGATGAGCAGTGAGCAGCAACGCAGATAGGAAAACGGCAGGATACGCAGTCACGGACGAGAGGCCGTACAAGGCTCAACACGACAGAAAGGCGTCACCAGTGTTGTCTCCTCGGAACGGTGGCTGGCTGCGGGAAGCTCCCCCCTCCAGCTTCTTTCTGATTGCCGTTTTACCTGTAGTCGTTTTCAGCCCACTGATCAAGGGTGGGGTCGCTCCAGATAAGCCCTGCGGCTTTCCTGAGGTGCACTTTCTTCTTTTCCGTTTTTCCAGAAGCCATTACGCCGCCTAGAGAGGCTGCCTCTTCAGGAGTAAGACTCTGCATGGCCTACATGAGCAGACTCCACATCGGCAAGTCACATTCGCAAAGCAGTAACAGCAGCCAGCAGCGCCAGTAGACAGCCGCCACACACTGGCAGGGCTTATCTGGAGTGCCCCTTTTACCTGGACTAATGAGCGGAAAATGACTACAAGTCACAGAACAAGAAGAAAGAAGCTCTCAAGGTGGGAGCTTCCAGCAGCCAGCCATCGCCCCGAGAAGACAACGCTGCTGCTGTTGCTTCTTTTCGTGTTGCAGCGAGCGACACCGTTAGCACGCAAATGAAAGCAGCCTTTCCCGCAGCAGCAAATCCAGCACCAGGCAGCGGACTAGAGAGAAAACGACAGTATTATGTTCCACCACAGGAGCCTCTCCTAGAAAAAAGATTCCCAGCTGCCTCCTTGAGAGCACACGAATGCACGAGGAGGTTCCAGCTCATGCAGTGAGTGCCCTCCACACGCCCTCACTTTCGCTCTCCTAAAGCACTGCAAGCAACTTTGAGTAAAACACCACTGCCTCAGAGGAACAAGCCTCCCCATCATACACAAATTCGATCGGAGTATTGCACACGTACGCAGTGCGTCGGATCTACAGGCAACTGCCTGCTGTCGGGCTGAGTGACCACAGCCGTAGGAACTTGCATGGCTGCTGAAAATACAGAACGGCAGCAAACAAACAGGCAGTCGAGGAGTTCATTCGAAGACAAACAAGAACCGCCCTCTACGGTGACTGGTCTTTCCCTAGTGTCATGAGAAGCTCACTGCTTATCAGCAAATGCGAGAATACGCATATGTGCTAGAAAGCGACAAACACACCGGAAGAACACAGGAAGGCAGCAGCCGCCCACGGCAAGGCCGAATGAAGGCACTGGAAGCAGGGCGTTGATGGGAGAGGGCACCAGGTTGCCGAGGAGGCACATAGGATTCTTACCATATTGCACCGCATGCATCATTTGCTGCATGTGCTGCATGTGCTGCATTTGGTGTAGCTGCTGGAGTCCAGGCGGAGCCTGCGTAACTTGTGAGGGCAGCGGATGGGATAAACCAGGGACTGCCATCGAGACACCAGGTAAAGCTCCCGGTGGGAAAACTGGTGCTGCTGCAGCAGCAGCAGCGGCAGCTGCCGCTGCTGCTGCGCCAGGAGCCCCTACTAGATGTGCTGGCTGCATTCGTTGGATTTAAAGAGGCATAGAGAAACGGGTACCGGACGAAGGGTGACAAGGAAGGATCTCGCTCAAAAGAAGGCAGGCGCAGCCCGTGCGTTGGAGCAAGGTAGCCTACTGTCTGCTGCAAACAAGTGAACTCGTGCTAATAACAATTTTCAGTGCTGCCTTTTGCTGTGAATCCATCAGCAGGCAGCCCCGTGGGAATCTTGGGCAGGGTTGCGCGTGGCGTGCACAGGGGAGACTGGAGTCTCCAAGCAGTTTTGGAGAAATATCTTTGAGCTAAAATGTGCTTAATGCATGCATTTTTTAGGAAAATTGCACAAAAGGGTGAACGCGAGAGGCAACTGAGGTTCTGCTGTCCTTCAAGGGGCTTGAAGACGCGTTTAAGCCCCAGCCAGCATTGGGGGCCCATGGCCACTAGATTCACGCAATGGACGAGTTCTTCGAGCACTTCCATGAAGAAATGTTTCTTCGATAAAATTTATCGTCGATTCTTGCTCATGGATGCTGGCTGCCCGTCTTCCTGTGCACTATACTTCCACAGACAAGGCATTCTGCCGCTGCTTTCTGGCTGTCATTTACGATACAGATCGGGCCACTCCCCAGCACGTCAGTTCATAGAGAACGGCTTGCAATGTGCCACTTAAGTAAAGGATCTTATATGTGAACAAGCTGAAATTAATTTAAACTGTGAGCTAATCTTGTACAGTTCGCATGACCCTTTGTTTAGCAGTCAGCAACACTCCAACCAAGCTCACAGCGGCGTTCTATGCAACTGAAGGCGCACTGAAAGGAATGAACCTCTTAATAACACACGGCCTGTGACGCCTATGGCCACTCTGGGCTATTAACCGTTTAAGGTTAGTGCACACGACTGATTGTGCTAATGCCCCACCTAGGCCTCCCGCAGGGAGATGCTTCCGACTCGATTCAAAACTTTGGACGAACTAATCGAGTCACGATCCGCAAGAGATTCACACAATGCTGTGTGACTGTGCGCTAGATGCTTTGTACCAGCTTGGATGAATCAGAGTGCTTAGAGGGTGGAGTCAAGCGCACCTCCCTTCCGGCGCCCCTCAGAGTTCCCGACTTCGGGGGGGAAGGGCAATTTACAGTGCGTGAAGCTGCATTTTCTAAACGCGCGACGAGCACTAATAGCTAGTTGCACATAGCACCTAGCGCACACACACACACACAATACTGCGCCTTCTTGTGTCGAGCAACTAGTACTCTGCAACAAGAAAGGGCTGAAGCATTGCCTCCCCGCTACAGTCGGGAACCGTGAAAGGCGCAGCAGAGGAAAGAGAGAGATATTTTTCAGAGCGCCCAATAACCGCCCTTCATGTCTCACTCTTAAGAAAATGGGGACAGCTAGGCTGCGTAGCGAGCTATGCTACACCCAAACGCTTTCTGCTAAACTACCTATATATTCAATCAAGTACATATAAAGTTGATCAATTAGTTTTTCTGTTTAAATAGCTCATCTATTGTTTAGCCTAATGGCTCGATTCAACAAGACGCAATATTGTGGGAGTGGGTGCTAGAAGAGATGTACAACCAGCAGTGAAATCTTGGAGTGCTAAGAGCGTACAACAAGGCTTCCCCTAGCTGTCCTCCGCCTCATGTGGAAATCAGGAGGGCATCCTGCAGGGCGAAAAAGGAAATTTTGAGGGGGGGCAAGAACTTTCTACTAACTTAGCATTGGTTCCGTAGTCCAGTGTCTCCCTAAGGAAGCACCATGTGAAGCGTTAGAGTTGGTGACACCGCATAGTTCTATGCAACTGCTCCCCGCCCAAACAGAGCCATTAAATGTAGTGAGAACTTAGGCGTTCTTGAACCCGTGTATGGTTTGATCAGATAATATTGTTGATCGACGATTTGGATTTCTTGGCAAAAGCCTGTAATAAACTCATCGAGCATTTGAAGTTGACGATAGCGAAACGCCGGATAGGACGGTATGGGCAAAACCGGTAGGTCTACAGCTGGCCTGGAAGCATGCTTTATTAGCCGAAAAGGTATATGAATCTGCTGATGAGGTTCTCCACACCAGAAAACATGTGACGGCGGTAGGGATAAGCACGCAATGGCGGATTTCGTTAGCAGGATCATAATGTACCTCGCTTTGTGCCCCCCTAATCTAACTGAATTATAAATGCATAATCAATTTAAATTCAAAGAAGCCAAGCTTGACGGCAATAAGGGTGGGCAGCTGATCAGCTATTTTATCAGCAGGTTGAGTATGTACCTCGCTCTGCCCAGCACACGTGAAGAAAATCGAGTGCTCTTGCGGCACCTTTATTGGAGGAAGTAGCGCCTCAACGGACACTTTACTTATTCAGAGTAATTCGTCTTCATGCAAGAATAGCTGCAGCTAAAGCCGTTGTACTAGCGCTCACTCATCGGTTTATCCCGAGATCAACTCAACGGCAAGCTTGGGAGATTTGAGAAAACCGAAACAAAAAATCTAGTTAGAAGATTGATATCTCGAGAAATATAAAGCTTTGCTTTGTAATGTCCAGAACGTAGACGAATTGGTGCGTTTTCAGTGGTTTCTCAGGTCTATCTGATGTGTCAATCCTTAGTTCAGGTAGTCGCAGGCTGGGCATTGCTTGTGCTACTAGACAGGAGACTGGTGGGGTTTCCACAACTGAAGGGCAGCTTGAGCTTTCAAGAGTAGCTGATCGCACTTTTGGCGTTTTGGGCAGCATAGGAAGAGCCCTTGTGGGACTTGGAACGTTTGTTTCTGGGCCGTGTCATCCGGCTCTATTCCACAGTCCAAGGTAAATGAGGGGAGGAAAAAAGAGGGAACCTGCTCTTCTACGCGGCTCCAAACCGCTTCCCAACAACGTGTCAGCTTTTTGTAGGATACAGGAATCTAGTCCGGAATAGCAAGTGCGGGCAAAAAGCCAAAGAACTTGTTCGTTGGGACTGTGAGTAGGGAAAGCATGCTAATTGGCAAGCTAAGAAGGCGCATCGCAGAAAAGGATCGGCCCTTACGCAAGGCGTGACGCAGCTAACGGTGCTATAAAGGATAAAGTTTTGCGTGAGGACCCACCTCGGGTCAATTGTGTGCTGACATCAGTTCACGAAAACGGTCAAGAATTGTAACACTGGAAGTGATCTGCATTATGTGCGAGGAGGGGACGCAGAAGTGCAGTCTGCTTGCGTACTTTAGCGTGCCGCCCAAAGGACCCTGGTTTCCTGAAGGGGATTAGCAAGCCTAAAACATTCACATGGTGCGTCAACTCGGAGTTGTGTCCTATCAGCATGTTCTGTGAATACTATGTTGGAGCCTTGGAGCATGATGCAATCCCATTTATGCCATGAACGACCCCATGGAAGGCTAGCATGCGTCCGCAGTTACGTGTTGCGAAGATAAGGGTTCCGGGAAGCGCTTGGACAAATTAAAACTTGATTTCCTTATCAACGCTTAGGTCGCTAGTGGCGCTCAGTGTAGACTGGCTGCGCAACAAAATGAGGTGAATCATGCATCGGGCCAACTCGGCAGCCCAGTAAGAAAAGACTACGCTGAGTAGGTATCCGAAGTTAGTGGCTCCGCACCTGGTTAGCTAGTGAGAAAGTCAAATCAATTTCCAGCCGAAGGACAGAATTATTGGGTAGAAATAGAGGAGGAGGTTGCGAATTTGCTCTATTATGTCAAGCTGCCACCAGGCAGGCCACCTGCTGATTCTCCACCCTAGTGTATTTAGCTAGTTCCTGTATCAGCCCCGAACTGTGATCCCACGGTATCGGACTTCTCCAGAGCATAAAAATTTGAATAGACAGCAGAAAGACGATAAAAATGCAAAGCGCAGAAATTGATCAGCACTTTTGGGAATAACACAATGTTGGTACCGAAGGCCGATACGTGGCGTATGTGTCAGCTTCAAGCTTCTGACGAAGATTACCGCAAAGCAGAAGTTCCCACTATCGAGTAGCAGTGTACTACTTGAAAACCTGCATGGAATAACAGTGCACTCGGCATTTGACTGAACAAACGCTTTCCTACATATTTCCATTCGCCCCTATGAAAAACACAAAACGACGTTCCACACTTGTGCTCCTGAACTCAAGTATGCCTGCATGCCATATAAACTTGCTAGTAATCCAGCAAAGAGGGGTGGTTGTCTGTCTGCATGAACGACGTTTTAGTCTACAACCACAAAGTTCAAGAGCACCCGCAGCACCTGTGATATGGGACTCAGCTTACAGGATAAGTTACAGTACGTGAAGGCGTGCAAGCGCTCCTTATTCTCGAGGATAATTGTGTTTTGATGTTTTTGATAGTTTACAATCTGGCTACAGGACTGAAGCCAGGCTTGGCAAAAATTGAAACACTCCAGGCACGACCTATGCAAGTACGCAGCCGTCAGGACGTTGCGAAGTTCAATGAGCTTGCATCTTATTATCGAGCTTTTATCGCTTAATTTGCTCGGTCCGGTACTCCTTTGACCGATCAACGTAACAAAGTGCAGCTTGTGGGCAGAGTAGGGAAGGCGGATGCCGCGGCAAAGGCGCGTATCAGCCGCCTTACTGCTCTTCCGATACTCTCGCTACCCGATTATGAGCGTCATTTGTTCTTAGCAGCCAATTCCAGTAGGTAGCGCAGGGCGTTATTCTATCTCAACAGGATACAGAATCTCCAGAATACCAAACCATTGCCTGTTATTCTCATCGTTTCATCGAAAATCGAAAAGCGGAGTCCAGTGCAAAAGGGAACCCAGTGCGGTGAGGAGGGACGTACCTAAATGCCAAAAGTATTTATGTGAGCGTTATTTATGTCCCCAGACCGACCGTCAGTCGTTACCGCACCTTACAAATAACCTCCGCGATTTTGATAATCTTGGAGCTCTGTGTTGGAGTAAGTGCCTCGTGCCATACGAATTCGCAATGAGATATATGAAGGGCATCATCAACATGACCTTTGGGGCGCTCTTGCTACGCACGCACAGTTCACTATTATGAATCGTATTCGCTCCTGATATGTGATAATTCGTAATCGATATAGCAAATGCGTGTGTCTCATGGTTTTGAGACCCATGCATCGGCTAGCATTGCCAAAATTCACAATGGTAAAAGGGTAAAGCAATGCCTCGTCGAAGAGGACTTGCTGTGGTTCAAACAAAGTGGAAACTCCGTAGATTGTGGATCTCAACTTCGTTTCGCAGCACAGTTTTGCATAAATATATGCCTATGTGCTTTGGGGCCGAGGAAGGACTAGGGTACAATACTGCCTTTCTGGTGGTCTGGGGTGCGCCCCACAGCATGAGAGTATGCACTGTCGTGCTCCGATTGTCACCAGCTTCGGTGGCTCAGTTCTCCTAAACTCGACCTTTTGCAAAGCCTTCAGGCTTGCTAAATGATTTGGGCTAATTTCACTGTGGACATTGGCTTTGGACTGCTGAAAGCCAAGAGTCATTTTTGCATTTCCTCTGTTGCCGACAAAGTGGGCAAATATGGTCGTTCATTTTCTTTCTCTAGCTCTGTCAAGGCTCCCGGAGTCGCTCAATTACTCTTTACTTGTATCTGAAAGCTTCATGAGTTTCCTAGAAGTACCATCAGCGACAGGTACTTGAGGTCTACCAGTGCATTCTGGTATGTCTTTTGTCTTACCTATTCACTAATCACAAGATAGCCCCTCCAAACCACCCTGAGGCAGCTGGACGGATAGGATGCACCAAACTGACTGTTCTGCAGTATTGGCAAAGCTGTTCTCGCTAAAATCCAGTCGCTCGGCTTGTTTTTCTTCCTCACGCTGAGTTGCTTTGCAATATAGTAGTGCACCGGTTGCTCCGCCTCCTCTCTGAGCTTCACTAATAAGCCCATCTCCAATCCAGGATCTGCATCTTGTGTTTGGGGATCAGCAGCCAGCCGTAGATGCGGAGGAAATCGTAACTCAGCTGGCGAGTGCAGTCGAATGCGTGCATAAAGCTTAGAAAACAAGCAAGGAAATATACCTAGAGGCGGTAGGCTGTCTGGTTTGAGCGCGGAGATTTTTTTTCTGGTAAATTGCGGCGTTTCACGAGATACGCTAGGTGGTCAACAGACGAGGAGGCTTGCGGCCAGGTAGCTAGGTCCATTTGTGATATCATTCGTCAATGCTTTTTCTTGCATACCTAAAGACAAAGCTACCACAGGATTATTAACAGTGGCTACCTAACGAAGATTCAAACACCGTTCAAACAGTTTGCGAAATTTTACCGCGCAGGCAAGTGAGACCTTTGGAGGCACAGGTTCTACATGTAGCTTGAGGATTGTGGACCCAACTGTTGAGTGACAAAAAGACACTTGATCGCAGCTTAAAGTGAAACCGAGGGACGAACGCCAACTTCAGTGGGCGACGGAGAATCAGTTGCGGGCTTCGTTGCCTGGGAGAATATGCGGCTTCCTTTGGTTCACGAAACTGGTTGCCACGGACGGTTATCTACGCATTTCTTGATATTTGAATTCCCTAGCATATGCACTGCCTGAAAAGCTACCTTTATCCTTGAACACTGCTTAAAAGATTCCCCGTATTTGTTGTTTAGGTGACTTTTACACCAAGTTTCATGAGCAGGCACTCCCAGATAATGCAGCCTTTACATTCTTGCTTATGCATCGTTTGAGGCTTTGCAGTCGACTAGGTTGTATTCACCGGCTTAGATGGCATGCATAAATCTACTATGAACCGATAAGATATTGCTGACCTATTGTGCATTTCGATTCCCTCTAAGCATTTTACTTGTCTTCTACTGCCCCATAGCAGGTCGCTTATGCATATAAGCTATCTGACGATAGCGATCGAACGCACAAACGGTCGTGTTGGCTTGGTACCTCAATTGTTGTTGACTATTTTGTGTGTATTTCTGTGTCTCGCTTTTCCGGAGCGGGCTGCTGTCCGTATTGGCCTCCTCTTCCGTACTTTTCCCTAGTTTCTGCCTGTGTGCGGAATGGCGAAAGGGACGAAACAGTCCTGCTCAATACGGAAAGGCACGCGTGCGTTTGGAACTGGGAGGGGAGAAGATGTAGCGGACTAAGCTAAACCTACGACCTCCCTGCTACTCTTGGTATACATAGCAAAGAACAAGCAAAGAATTTACCAATTGGTGTGTTTGCATATATATATATATATCATTGCACAGTTTTGTGGGATTCCGTACATCAGACGCAAAGCAGTGTGGATGTGGGCGAGATGCAGTATGCAACTTGTTGTGAATTTCCGGAGTTGTTAGAGGGTGCAGCAGCATGCAACTCCGCTGACCCTCCCCCAATGGGGACCCCAAGGAGCGCTGGTAAGGGAAGTACGGAGCTGTTTTGCGAACGACAGCCATTCACATCCTCTTATGCGTGTATCGAATTCGGATCTACCTGTTGTCTTGCTGCGGAGAACGTAAATGGCGCGTCACAGTGGCCCTCGAACTCCAACGCTCTAACGCCGCTTGGTAGAACGATGACACTTCAAAGGGATTCCTTTAATCCTCGCCGGCCGTCACTCAGCGAAACGCCGGGAGGAATCGCAAAACTACATGGGGACGTATGACTGTGTGCAATGCTCCGCCGATTCATGAGATTTCGCCCATATTTCGCGCAAGAGCAAATTTCGGATTTGCTATTTGCACGGAACACCGGTTGGTCTCTGAGAAAACAGTAGAAGTGCCCCCACCTATTGGCCCCATGCTTTTTAGTTCTAGTTACGTGTATATTGGTTTCTACCGGGGATTGCATGCGTGTCACTTGCTTGCTGCAGCTACCCCCAGACAGCACATGGCGCTCGCTGTAAGACCGCTCCGAATGCAACATGGGAATACGAAGAGCGGCGTGAAGCAGCGTGGAAGAGGCTCAGGATTGTGCAGATCTTCTAAGGACCTTGGTGTATCACTGTTGTATCCCCTCAGGGTGTGCGTTGCTTACTCCAACCAGAATCCGTGCAACACGCTACCCCCCTAACACTACCCTGGCATGTGTTCCTGGCCATCTCGAAACCCAGAGTGCGAAAGGCTACATAAGAAATACGGTGTTGAGAACCTGCTCTTTTTTGAAAACGATCACACTTGCAGTGTTTATTTCTTCGTTGCTAGCCGCGGAGCCAAGAAATTCAACAATTTCCGGTCAGAGGTCCCCCCTCCCCATTGGATATGTGTGGGGCTGCAGCTGTTCCTATAAAAGAGAATTTAACCTTACAGACCGCTCATTCGTTTTGACAGTTCGTCACTTTTCTGATCCTTAGCGCTTGGCCGCCTCCCTGACGCGCCCAGCCTTCTTTGGATTCTCTCTTTCCCAGTCCCCGAAACCCCCACAACGGGGGATTTTTTTTGCACTTTTGCAGAGATAAGCAACCGTCTAGATGCTCTTTCCGTTTTCAAGCGAGAAGCGTCGTCATCCGCCACTTCTTATAACTTATCCTCCGCACTCACCTCCACATCCTGAATTGCAGGAGGTGTCACTTTGTATCTGAGTATGGCGAAACACCCCAGTGCGCCCACATGTTGACTTAGTTCCGAAGGTTGTCACGCCTTCCTTTCTTCCGTTTCGTGTACAAGTTGGTGGTGGTCGCCAGCAGTGGGCTTGAAAAGAATCCAAGAACTCTCTTTTACCCCTGAAGTTGGCACTGATTTCCGTTTTTTCTCGAACCGACTCGCCTATTCCTTTCGTTCCCACCATGAAGGGTGAGGCGTCGAGCAGATCCCTTGCTTTTTCAAATGAGCAAATGCAGCCAACACGCAGGCTGGTCCCCAGAAACTCGGCATTCGTTCGAGCTGCATAAAATGCAGGTCTCCTGCAGTCAGCTCGCAGCTTTTGCATTTTCCGGTTCCCCCACACTGGCACATGTGCATGGATTCTCATGTATTCGTAGAAGCACAATGAATTTTTTTGCGTCTTTTTCTTCAGGGGGAAAGAAGAAGGAGAAGTGTCCTGTGAAGACGGAGGAATACGAAGTCGACGACATCGTGGCGCACAAGAAAGAGCGAGGTCTTGTGAGTCGACACCTATCGAGGCGTTTCTGAGTATGTACATGTGGATGTCTGTCTGTGTGTCTGTGTGTAAGTGAGTGGATGTGTGTCTTGAGTGACTGCCCCCTCTTTGTGCAATTGTGATGACCAGTGCATGTAATGCGTTCCCTCACGCTCAAGTTCACACGTCTTTCGAGTGTCTGTGTGTGTAAACATGTAGCCGTACCCACTTTTTGTGTATTGCGGTGTTCATTTTGTGTGTTTGCGTATCTTCGAGCACGGCTGATCGCCGTATGTGCGCTTGCCTCTCTTGAAGTGTAGCATGCTCGTGCCATACCCCGGCAAGTGTATGCGCAGCATGCGTTTCAGTACCGGATTGCCCATTGTAGGCCTCGTAGGTGGCACCTGCACGCTCAACGTGTCTATAAGAAGAAGGGGTTGAAAAAGTGTGTGGCGGGAAGGAGAACTCGGTGTGTGGATGCTCGTGTGTATGCATGCTGGTGTGTATGCATGGCAGTGTGAATGCATGCTGGGGATACTAAGTGAGTGCAGGCCCTCCTTTGCTTTGAGTATTTAATTGATTTTTTGCTTCGTGAAAGCCTGCTGCCGTGGTTCAGCTAGCCGTCTGTTGAAGTGCATTGTTGCGGCTCTTTTCTTTGTTTTAAATGCAGGACTATTTTAAGGTGCGATGGAAGGGATTCGATGAATCAGACGACACCTGGGAAGTGGAGGTGGGCATTGGATGCTCGACTTTCGAGCTGTCCGTCGCAGTGCATGTACATGCAGCATCTGAGGCATTCGCTCTTTTGTCATGTAGCTTTGTCGTGGTTCTGAACTGCCGCGAAGTCGCGCTGCTGCAACAACTGATACAACTCGAAACTTCCGAAGCTGCTATTGTCACTAGGGCTGCCGAACAGGCGACAGGCCCCAATATTAGCGAGCGCGTAACTGGGAAACGAAGAAAGGTGTAGTGACAGAAACGCGCTCCGAGGGGAAGCAAAACGCAAGGCAACGAGCGTACCGTTTGTTGTACTTGGGGTGCAAGCAGTTGATCGGCGGGAGAAGGGAGGGGGTGACTACACTGTGCGTGCTGCGCTCTGCGCAGTCCAACTTGGCCCACGCTCCAATGTTTCATTTGAAGATGCACGAACTTAAGTGAGCAAGTAGTTCGATTATTAGGGGAGCTAGCCAGTCTTCAGGGCCGTATGGCTGTGCTGTGCTTGAGCAAGCGCAGAAGCAGGGTGTTCGCAGCTGTTATAAGTCTGCGTCTTCCTGTGCATTCGTCTTCCTCATTAGCGACGATGCGTGCTGCACCGCCGTGTGCGAAAAAGAGGCACCTGCTTCTGCCCTGTGTGAATACGCCTGCTATAGCCTCGTAGCTTGTGTTCTTTGTGGCCTCATGAAGGTATCTGTATCGCATGCTGCGAGCCAGCGTGCGGCGTTTTTCAGGAAGGAGACAGAGCATAAATTAGCCGAGAAAGACGCAGAAGCGGCGGCACAGGCGCATGCCAGAAAGCGGAGAAAGCACACATCGCTTGAATCTGACCCCAGCCGCCCCTGTGACGTTGAAGGTCAAGAGGAAGACGCAGAAGTTGAATACAGGATATATGCGACGGGAACGAAGGTGCCGAAAAACCATTTGCCAGGTAAAGCTTGCACAGCCCTTCTCTTTTTTTTCCTCCCTCCCTTCTTTCCTCCCATCTTGCTAGGGACGTCTCTCTTTGCACCCCTCCTCCCGGCATTTCTTCGCTTGCGTAGTACAGATTCAGCTTTTTTGAATTTCTGTATGCATCCTGAGCCGCCGACTGTCTGCATGTGCGCTGTGCTCGTGGCACGCCATGACTTCATGAGGCGTCTGGGAGCGCCCGGCGATTACCATGTTTACCAACAAAAAAAAATTTGCCCGCGTATTATTTTTTGCATGTAGGTTTTTTTTGGGGTCAGCAACATGAGCGCGGTTTGTTTCGTTCTTTTTTACACTACCTGTTTGTCTGTGCCCCCCTCCGTCGTTTCGTGTTCAGACGAACTTGCCCTAGGCGATCGCTTGAGTATTTTGCGTTTCAAGAGGTCTGCCATGAGCGCGTCGTCCGCCCTTGACGCTCAAAATGAAGAAGAGGGTGCCGACATAACAGTCACGTATTCAATAGATGGGACAGACACGTACACCATTCCGTTTAACGCCGCGCGGCGCTACTGCTGCCAGCGCCTCCTCTCTTACCTCATTCGCCGAACGACCTTTAGGAGCCCCCGAGGCTCTCAGGAGCCTGGCATGGAGGGGTCTGTCTCTGCTCGTTCAGGCAGCAGCAACGGCGGCAGCCCGCAGCAACACTCGGTGTGCACTGCTGGCGAGCGAGGGTCCGTGCAGGACTGCCTTTCCGAGCCAATGGAAGGCAGTGGCGAGAAGCAACAGCAGGGCGACTGCAAGCAAACGGACTCCGCAACGTACGGGGATACCGCGACAGCGCCTCAAGCAGGCGGGGAGGCTGCATCATCCGCGCCAGTCAGCGGTGTCGCAGTAGGCTTGGCTGCTGCGGCAACGGCGGATGCCTCCAAGTGCACGAAAAATAGTGGAAGGCTTAGTGAGGGAAACAACAAAGGGGGACTGTATCTGCAACATAGCAAGCAGCGAGTAAAGGAAAGTTCTCTACCCGCTACCGGGGGGGCGTGCGCGGCAGCAGGTCTGCCAACTACTCCCACACAGAATGCTGCGTGGTAGACGCTGGGTAGAGCAGTTTGTTTCTTGGGCTGAGAGAGCTGCTCGCGTTCAAAGGGTCTTATGCTTCCTTCCGTTCTCTCAGCTTTCTACCCTCCCTCCCTGATCCCCTATTCGATTCCCCCATGTCGGTACATATACACACCCCGGTTGCCGAGAGCACAGCACACTCCCCTCGCGTCTTCTGAAACCCCTTGCGACATTGCGATCTCGAGGGCTGCTGGCCGCATGCATTTGCACTGAGCGGGCTGTCTTTCAGCAAGAGGGGAGTTGCAAGTGTGTTAAGGGCTCTGCTGCGGCATCGAAGGCTCACGCGTGTAGTCGCGGCGGGGGAGGGTAGGCGGGGGGCGTCTTGGGAGCAGCTACGGTAGCAGCACCGTCTGTCTGCTAGGCAGCGCGGCCCATGTTTGAGCATCCAAGCAGTGTGCTTTCGAAGCGCAGGAAAGCAGCCTTATATGACCAGGAAGCAGTCGTGCAGATCTGGACGTGGAGTGCCATGCAAAACTATGTATAGTGTTGGTTGTTTGAAAGATGAACTCATGAAGAACTCTTCTTTGCTTCGGGAGAGGAAGAATGCATGAGAAATAAACTGAGAGGGAGAGAAATACTGCCGTGCGCATACATGGAGGCACTCGATTTCCTTGCACCTGAGCGTTCCCGAAAATGAGATGCGTAGGCGTTGAACTACGGCATTGTAGCCTACAGGGCATGAACGCCGTCATGCCTCGCTGTATATCCATAAGTATGGAGGTATATATGTATATATCATAAACACTAGATATCCACTTCAGAAGACGCGTTCTTATGAAGTTGAACTCAGCTCGCCACGCGATTGCGTGAAACTGTGCTCTCAGCTAGCCAGCACACGCATGATGCCGCGCAAGCAAGCGTTGCACCGCTGGGTTTCTGCTCGGGAAAAAAGTTGCAGCGGTGCTGCAAAGGGTCAGCTGGCAAGAAGCCTGTAAGCTGCGTCGGCTACACCCGCGATCGTCTGCCACACGACGACGCGTATACTACAAAGTGGATGCGTGGCTGCTCGGTTACCCCGCCGTTTCGCATCTCTGCTCCCGCGAACTTCCGAGTCTCCCGTTCTCCCTGAGTGTTGCGGGGGAAGCCGAAGGAGGAAATTGCATCATAAGGTCGTCATACGTAAATTGCCGTTTCGTTTTCGCCCCCGTTTTCAGTCTGTCTGTATTGCTTCTTCGCCCTGAGACGCCGTGCTGCATGGCCGTACTGTCGCTTCTTCTACCGAAACAATAACAGGCGCGTCTGGCCCTTGCAGAGCAAGCAACACTTCGTCAAGCGTGGATATTTCTCCCCAGTCGCCCCCGCCGCTCGTCACCTTGAACAGAACGCGTGCCAACTCGCACAGGCGAGACGCCGCCTTCTCCACCTCCTCGTAGAGCGGCTCTAGAGCCCGCACTTGAGCGTCTGCAGAGGCATTCAATTCGTTCTCTGCTGCTGCTGCAGCGAGATACACCGCGTTAGAGGCGTCTCCTGCATGCGCAGCGCTTCCCTGTTCTCCTTCTTTCCTCCTGACGAGCACCTCGCCACTCATAGACCCCGTGCCGTCATCAGGATGCAAAGCTTTAGCGGCGTTCTCGGCCACTGCTGCACTTTTCAGCGTCTGTATAGCTGCACTTCTGTCAACGGAGTAGCAGATTTCGAGCAGAGCGGCGCACGCCGAAGAGAGAAAACTGCCTTCCTGTAAAGGCCCTTCCGTCACTTCGTCTGGTGCCTGTTCTAGCTGGGAGTAAAAGGCATTCAGGAAGCTTGCAAAGAGATCTGCAGTGCCATCACAAAATAGCGCCAGTTAGCGCTCACAGAAAGGCGGAATATGCAGTAGCAGGCACAAAGCGAGGTTGGCACTAGCGCACGCTATCCCCCCCCGTTACGAATACAATCATATTTCAAGGCAAAAGTATGCGGCTTGCTCTCTCGAATGCAGCATCAGAGCACGCCTGTTTGACGCAGACGTAGCTGCCAACAACTAAAACAGAAGGCAGCTAAAATTTTAGAACAAATTGATAGAATAAACCGATAGCCGAACACGATGATGGAACGTACGATGGATGTCCGTTCCCTCACATGTTTCTCTTCAGCAGCCTTCTGGCACGCTTCATATTATGCGCACTGTATGCCCCCCCATACAAAGACTCTGCCATCGCGCTCGATAGGCATCGCGTGATTCACGAAACGCGCATGGAGGTGGGAGGGGTCTCTATAGTCACCGATAGAAATACAGCAAAAAAATGGCAGGCTGATGAATCTACGCGCGGGAAAAAGTTTAATACTCCATTTTTCGGCCCTAGTTGCCGCTTGGACAGTACGCATGAACCGGGGGTGTATTTGAATCGCAGCATGCATACGCATGCAGGTGTCGACTTTCTGATGAGCAAAATATCTACTACTGAAGAGCGATGAAGACTACTGTTTCCGCATGCACGCTAGATTCACCTCCCTCGGAGGCGGATCGAGAAGGAGCACGGGAGTGGTCAGGGAGAAGGGAAGGGCGGCCTACCCGGCTGAATATACATGGCGCGCTCCGAAGAAGAAAGCAGCTCGACAAGTGCTCGCCAATGCAGAAGAGAAGGATAATGATGCCCCAAAACAAGGGCAATGAACGCCATTTGCAGCTCCCCCAGGATGGCTTTAGCGCCCTCTTCCTGCTCTTTCAGCAGTTGCAGCAGAGTGTCGCTTCGGTCAGTGCACTGGAGTGTAACTACAGCTGCAGCCTCAGCGGCGGCGGCTGCAGCGTCGACGCCGCTGCGCCGTGCAGCCGCTGCAGCGGCTCTCGCTGCGCTCACTGCTGAGGATCGGGGAGGCCGAATATCCATATAGAACATCTTGCAAGAGGCTGCCTCGACGGCATCCTTGCTCTCCTGCTTCTCTGCATCGTTGGCTTCTTCTGCTGCTGCCGCGTCTTCCCTCTTCAGACTCGGTGTGGGTGTATCTAGGGGTCCCTCTTCGTCTGCCTCTCGAGCACCAGCGCTGGGCGCGGCGCTTTTCTTGGAAGCTCGCGACTTCCGCTCCTCTGCGTGTTTCTGAATAAAAGCCTCCTCGCCTTTCGTCAGCGGCATGCCTTCGGCTTCCAGACAGCGGCCGATCGGCTCCACGCGGTGGACACACGCGGCAGAAATGTGCTGCGTCAGCGACCGCCACTGCGCTCTCATGTGTTGGGGATACACCCCCAGCCCATCAATGAAATCCTGGTGTTCGACGCCTGCAACGTAGCGCAGTGTTTCCTCTTCCGACAGCGGGAGATAGCGCGAGAGCAGGGTATCCCACTGTCTAATGATGATTTTGTTCTCCCTTCCATCGAAATACAGAAACTCGCCCCGCTGACCCGTTGAGCCAATGGCCTCGTCCACACGCATTCGGGTGTACGGACACTCCGATTCGCGCGTCTCGGCATGAACACGATTGGGTGCTCCCGAGCTGTCGCTCTCTGTCCAATGCAAGAAGTGGCAGCCTGGATCTATTCCCCTTATGCCCCTGAACTTCTCCCCGACGCGCCATTGGGCCATGTCAAAACCAACCAGCAAATTCGCGGGCGTCTTGAGAAGCAGCAAACAGCAGGAGCCAGCAGCGGCACTCCCAGTGCCCTCCGTCGACGCAGATGTGAGCGGTAGCGCGCGGGCAGCCATGATCCTCCTTTGAGTACGTATTACGGGAAGGAATACAAATGAAGCTTCTCAAATGCCTCAAGAAATCAGAAGAACGCTGAGAAATAGGGGCGTAAGTGACCTGACGCAGTGCCTGCCGTCACCTCCGTGTGGAGTAGTGTGCACTGGAAGGCCAGCGCAGCCCGACACAAGCCAGAAAAGCCGAAAATATCATAAAACAGCTGTCAAAAATGCAGACTGCATCGCGATTCCCTAGAATCACCGGGGTTCTGATGGGCAAGTAGAGGAAGTCTCCACGGGGAGGGTGGAGGGGGGGCCCCCCTCGTGGGTCCCCTTACTGGCATCGAACTCCTCCCCTGCGAACCCCTCCTAAGCGGGTGTACGTTACACTAAGAGCGACCATGATGAGATTCGCATGTTTCGGGACAGATGGAGACTGGCTAAATGCGGTGCAGAGCATACAAGGCGCACACACATTGGACGAACCACTCGCCCTCTGCGCGGCTGTGTCGATGGCGTGTTGGATGCGCGTCCCTAACGTGTGCACCCAACAGAAGCCACACGCCTTCTTCGCTCGGAGAACCACATCTGCGAATCTTCTTTAAGAAAATCAATGTAGAGGCTTCGCAGCTGCACGGCCCTCCTTGAAAAGCGCTTCCCCTGCCATTGTGCTTGTAGATTTGGCAGTTTAGTTGCGAATTCGTTACGTGCTCGTGTGCATTTCAAAAAAACGAAACGGGCCGCGTCAGTGTACCCCCTTTCTCCCCCCCGATCATGCGTGCAATCGCGCGTCATTGCATGAACAACCCCGTCCTCGTGCCGCGCTGACTGCGAGCCGACTTCCTATTGGCTGGCCGACTCCACCGCATCAAGCAATCAGTGTAGCTTGGCTTCTCTGCCCAGCTCTGTACTTCTTTGCAGCTGTCTTTTCATGAACAACTGTGTAACATGCATGGCCAGACACGCAAGGCTGCAGGGCCGTTGAAAGAGCGCCCACAACGCTGAATTCTCCAGCTCTGCGCGAATTCGAATTCCCCGCGCGCGCCTTGCGAACCGGCGTGGTCAGCTTGCGCACAAACAAGGCCCTTATAAGTGCCCGTAGCAACGAGAAGGCCGTTTCTATTGCTTGCGGCACTCCAGTATACGCATGCGAGTGGAGGACGCACCGAACCTAACTATTTATGCCCTGCTAATCGATTCGTCCATTTTGTACTTGCGCGCCTTTTTGCCGCCTGCGTTTCGGTGTCTTTTGGGTGTGTACATATCTCATATTCGTAGATAGGCCTCAGGAAGCGGGAAGGTCGGTACATTTTAAGACTGCTCCCCGGGCGTCTAGAAAAGCCAAACAAGGAGTAGCCTTCTAAGAAAGTAGGCTCGGGTGGGAGGTGCAGATAGCGTGAGTATAATAAGGCGACTCCTATCAAGAAGGTGCATCAACAGCAGCACGGAGGAAGGAATGCAAAAGAAAGCCTGGCTGCCCCATGGCATGCAGATGGTGGGCTGTGTGCATGAATGCAAACATATGTATATATATATATGGTGTGGTGAATGGATGGACGGACAGCCACCCACTTTTGGTCCCTTAGGGATGCTGCGAAGAAGCACCGCGCGCGGTTGGGTGCATGGTAATGTCTTCATTGATCCTATACAGCGAGCAAGCGGAAGGACACTTAAAGCGTCGGCTCTGTATATCTGCACACTGCCTCCTCCGTTTTTTTTCGCGCACTTGGCGGAGGCGAGGCGTCTCCAGAAGTGTTTCTGCTGCTCATGTGTGGTCTGCCTATGTCTCCTGAGCAGCGGCTGCCTCGCATCCAAGAGGCAGGAAGGACAGATCTCCCGCAGTTTTGGTGTGAACGGTTGACACCCAAAGAGCCGCTGGGTGACGATGGCGGTGCCAGAGAAACCGCAACCCGGCGAATTGCTGCTGCTGCTGATCTCCTCTTGGCGGAACGCAGCAGCAGTAGCAAATCGTCCTCGCCTCCTGCGCGGCAGCAGAGTCAGCAAGGGCAGGATGCATCACCGCGAGGGGAGAGCTCTGGAGATCTCCCCTCCCCACAACTGGCACCATCAGCGGCCTTTGTGGCTGCTGGGCGTGCTGTCGCGCATGCTGCCGCTGCTCCTGCAGCTGCATTTCCGAGACGTGGGTATGCGGAGCTTCCAGCGCCTGCGAAGTCGCAGCAGTGCCTCCCCCGCCTAGGGAGCAGCTCGAGGCTTCCCGCTCCTCGGCAGATTGCGAGAAAACAAGCCCTCGAGGAGTCTCAGGAGCAGTCGGAACGTTGTCTGCGCTTTTCGGCAGCCTTCCCCCCCCCCAATAGGCTTCTTCCTCATTTCTCTTGTCTGCCTCCCCCTTAAAGGCCATGCAAACTTGCTGCTGAAGAAGAAGAGGGGGAGGCAGCAAAACGGCTCCTCGAGCAGCCGCCATGGTCGGCTTTTCGACCGGTGCAAAGCTTTCAAGCACCACTCCAAAAAGTGTGGCGTGCTGCAACTGTTGCTGCTGTTGCTGCTGCAACTGTTGTTGCTGCAACTGTTGCTGCTGTTGCTGTTGCTGCAACTGCTGTTGCTGCTGCAACTGTTGCTGCTGCCTTGCATGGAAGTGCTGAGGTGTCAACACCCTCCGAGGATGACACCCGGGAGTCTCCTCAACGAGCTGGAGGAGCGATGCCTCAATGCTCAAAGAGGTGTCGGCGGCATTCTCGCCGTCTGTCCAGTGCGCATTCTGCAGCTGCCCTTGCGGTTGTTGTTGTTGCTGCTGCAACTGCTGCTGCTGTGCAACATGTTGCGTTAGGGCCTGTGCGCCGTGCATGCTCTGGCAGCTGGTCTCTCTAGCCCCCTTGAAGAGCTCGCACGTGGAAGACACCGGAGAAAGCGGATGCAGGAGACTGTGAGAGCGGCTTTCCTGGTAAATGTGCCTCCCCGAGGACTGCAGTCTGTGGATCAGCAG